ATACAACGAGTGAAATCAAAAATTTCGGTGAAACACCTTGGGAATGCATCGTTATTTCCATTGAACTAGAACACCGATGCACTATTTTCACAAATAGAAGTGAATATTTCATCTATAATACTGAGAGTGTAATATTTCATCTATAATACTGAGAGTGTAAATAGAAAATGTATTAAAATATATTGGAAGCAGTCACTTTTTGGATTTCGATTTTTGCTGATTGCGATTAAGCAGCTAGCGCTCACCATTTCTGATAAGACTTGCTTCACTGGCTGCTGCTACAATGAAGATTTTTTCCATAATGGACCTTTTGCGGATAGAGATAGAGTCACAGGATTATAGGCTGTCACCACCTGCATTATTTTTTAATAACACGTTTACTCTTGTGTATTCGGATTATGATTATGAGCGACTTATCGCTGAAACATGGAAGTGTAAGAGAGATAGATTCTCTCATTTTTCTCTTTATGATCCTTATTTTTCACCGCATTTGTTTTAATTCATCGAAATTTTTTAGCTATAAGAATCTCAACGAAATTGAACGGCGAGTCATTGAAAATAACTCGGTTGAAACCATCAGATTTTATTGTGATGAAATATCTTATGAAGAATTTTATTACTGAAGAATCTCTTCGCGTAGCCATTGATTTCACAGAAGACGATGCTTGGAATATGACTTCAGGTTTCAAAAAGTTAAATACTCCATTCCCCTTTAGTTATTTAAGTCCTAGTGGCTATGATAAATCTTTCTGCGCACTTTCATACTAAAATCTTATATCTAAAACTTCAGAACGAAATTTGTGAATTATTCGACGTCTGTAGCATACCTAGTCTGTAGCAATATAGATAGACCTTCACAGAATCAGAAATTTCTTCAGATTTTCACTTTTTCACTTTTTTTTCAAATTTATTAATGAAAGCACGTTTTATTATTTAAGTAAAATAAAATTAAAAAAAGAAACATTTTTTAGAAGTTGTGAGAGCAGAACTCAGTTCTGGTTTTTCCTGTGCATATACGAATTCGAATAATGAAATTGCCATAAAAATTTGTTCTATCATAGAACGACCAATGGAACAAGATGATAAAGTAAATTTTTGTCCTAATTCAAAAGGAAAATTTTATTTCAGTTTAACAAACACTATATTTGTTTGAAAGTTTCATTTTCTATCCAGTTTCAAAAATTAACAAGAATTTAATCATCTCTGAATACATCTTCTCATACTCAGTTAAGATATTGGAATTCATGAGAACTCGTCATTCATTTTCATAAAAAGATATTAAATTAATTCTCATTTAACATTTTCATAAAAATAAATAAAAAAAATATGGTAAAAATTCAAAACTTCCTTTGCAAAACTTAGAGTAATGAAGTAATAAAGTAAATAAGCGCTCACAGTTTTTGATTTAGCTATTAGTTCCACTAGCCTTTAGAAATTTTTGACGATGAGAAATTTTTTTCCAAGAAGTCACTTGGTGACTGAATCGTCGGCACCACGCACATTTAATAGACAGGCTTGTTTCTGTTGAAAACTAATTCTGAACCATGGCGTTTGAAGCCTCTGTTCTAAACAATGATCAATCGGCTGCAAAACTTAATATTTCTCATCTTATGGTGCTTATAGATGTATTACTATCCATCAATCAAAATTTAACAAAATTAACTAAAAAAATTTAAATTTAGGCAGGTTTTGTATTCTGTGAAATCAAATCGACCAGCGACAATAATCAGATCCATTTTACCAAAAAGGCGAAAGAAATAACAAATATTCTTAATGTTTCAGAATCCCAGGTTATCTATATGTACCACTGATCGTTTTTCATTTTCCAGAGCTATAGAATTGTTTGAATCTGGTGAAATCAATGGAATCTTATTAAATCTAAAGCTAAAGCTTGTAGGTCTCTACTTCCAGCAGTATTTTACTGATTTTTAGGTCACATTTACTGCTGTCATTATTGTGATTTGCTAGTTATATTCATAATTGGGTGGTAAATTTGTTTGTCAAATTTCAAATAAAGTGTAATAATGATGACGGTTTTGGTTAAGAACATTTTTTGGGATAAACATTAGTATGTTAATAAACGTTAATAAATTAGTTAGAAAGTCCGGCGTAGTCATGCAATTGTATAATTTATCATTGCCATAATTTACTGCCAGACATTAATTCAATTGGCTCCGCTATCGATCCATGCTCATAACTCAAATGAAATTTATGATTGTTCAGGAAGACCAAATTTCCTCAAGAAATATTTTTCATATATAATAATAATTTTCTATTCTAACTATTTTGTGCTTTAAGATATGAAAGAAACACTATAATAATGCAAAATGAAAGGTTTTCATGCAATGCAAATTAGTTTTCAAGAAACCTGTAAGAATGATCAGACATTATTATCGCTGCGTGAAGTAGCATTTAACACAGATGCCAAACTAATATCAGAATTTATTCATCACATAATTTTTTCTACATCTATTCTTCTCTTTAAGATTTGGACCTCACTCAGGCCAGATGAAGCTAGTCGCCTTTTGCCGATCGGTATTCTTTCCACGCATATTATCTAAAGCGAGGCCTAATCCGGAATTTACTAATTTACTAATGATATCCAAGATCCAATTAACTTAGGAATCGACGGTGCCGTCATGGAAACCACAGCACATAACTCCTAAAGGATACATCCTTCTGATACAATTTCAATGCAATAATTTGTAGCAAATTTATGGCAAATACGGAAAAAAATTGTGATCAACAATAATTAAAGCTTCAACTTTATTAAGTTATTTATTCAAGAATTAATGCATCACAATATATAATCGCAGACGAATTTCAGCTGCTAGAACCTTTGGGATATTTAATGATCGATGAAATAAAGCTTGAAAAAAGCTTGAAAAGCTTGGAAAAATGGAAGTGGTGAAATACTGTTTAGATGTGAAGATGCAACGAAATGCATGCAACTCCTTTATAAAAATTATAAATAATTTTCGTATTCTGTCAATTTAAACTCTGAACTCTGAAATGTTTATAAGTTTATAATAAGAAGAGGAGAAGGATAAAGAGGGTCTATATGGAGACATACAAAATTCATTAGGTAGAAAGCCTAGACTTAAATTGTTGAACTGCCAGCTATCACACTTAAATTTTAAATTTTTTCTAAGAGCTCTCATAATTTCTGGTTCTGCTCACCTTAGCTTGTCGGGTCAGAGTGAGCAAATTTTACCAGAGAATTACTTGACGATGGGCGATATAAATGAGTAAAAGACACCAGGCGGGTATTTAAAAGGAAGGCTTCCTCCTGCCGTTAACTTCGGCGCTTTGAAAAGGGGGCAATCCACTGAGCCATTCTATTTTTATTATTTTAATATCCGCTACTTGAATTTGCTGAGAAAAATATTCAATCGGCTTGCTTATTATTATTATTATTATTATTATTATTATTATTATTATTATTATTATTATTATTATTATTATCACTACTATCGCCATCATTTTTACAACTATTATTATCATTAATATTATTAGTATCACTATAATTTATCACTTTTATTACTATTTTTTTTTAAGAGTCCTCACCATTACTGGTTAAATTCGCTCCACTGGCTTGTCGCATTGGGCAATATGCCAGAGAGTCCCTTGGCAATAGAAATACAGGTGAGCCGCCAGCATCACCCGGATTTTTGTGAAGGTTTACTCTTGCGGGTAATCAAACCTCAGCATCGGCGCTCCCAATTGAGCAACAATCCACTGAGCCATTCTATCCCCAATCACTATAGTTGTTATTATTTGTTATTACTATTGTAATTATTTATTTATTACTATGGTTATTATTATCGTTATTTTTATTATTTTCATTATATCATTATATCATTTATCATTATCATTATTTTATTATTATTATATTATTACCATTTCATTACCTAATATTATCGCTGCTATTAAATAGCTAGTGCATTGTTCCATTCTATAGCTTTCTGTTATTCACCATAAATTTATTAATAGATCTTTGAAAAATTCAGATGAAAATTTTGCGAAATTTTTTTTCCCCAGCAAAATTTATCTGCGTACAACTTTATATAATTCGCATATAATTCTTTAGGAAATTGACTAATTCCATTTCACTGTTATAATCAAAATTTATGGTCTGGCAAACCAGCGGTGCGAATCAAAAAAATGTTGAATCCTTAACCTGTAGAATCCATATACAAACATACGTGAATACCTTCATAAATTTCAATATTTCTAAGCTATAAAATATGGTAACATTGTGAGTAGTATGAAATTACATCACCTGTAACAGTGAATCGAAAATCGCAGAAAAAAGAATAATCACGACAAAAAAGCAAAAATAAAATTCTATGAAAATCATAATCATAGAATAATTAAAACTTCTAAGTACTACAAAGTATAGCAAAACCAGCGTTCATTACGAAAAGCAACCAATGCGATATCAATTAACTCTATGGAATAATCGTTAACTTATTCGCAGAATATATCAAAATGCAATGAAATGTGATCAAATCTACAATCTGGAAAAACTTTCATAAAACTTCTTATCTATTAGAAATGTAGTGAATTGCGTTGGTTTCCAAACGACCCGCATCATCATCATCATCGCATTCCCCTGCTATTTTATGTTCTGCTCACTGAATGATTTCAATATTTAAAAAATTTAAATCATCGGCTCTTATACTTGTCTTTTTCATAGATTATGGAAGCAGAATAGTTAAGTATTGTTGCCCATCATCTCGACCATCAGAGGCTGCATTCTGTCTCTGGCAGGAATAAACCAGTCACAAAAAAATTCGGTTCGTGCTGGCGATCCAACTGTTTTATCGCCAAACGATTCCTTGGCAAAAATTTTTCATTGTACAAACAGCTAGTGGAGCGAGCCTAACCATTTTTATCGTTATTTAATTAACTAATTTAATGCCAAATTATTTCAGAACTTATTATTTTGCAAATAAATTTCAATGACCATCAAATATATATGGAAACTTACCCAAAATCTAATATAAAGAAGAGAAGATGGTATGAAGTTTCCTCATACGCCCATCCATAAAATTACTTCGAAGATAAGGAACAGTATCGATAGTCAGATAAGGTCCTTCTCGATAAGGGCTTACAGGCTCCCATATGAAACCGAGGTTTTCATTTGCAGCATCTGTATCCACATTTGGATCACTAAATCGATTCATTATTTTATAACATTTTGAACATCGCAAAAATGCCAAAAAATCCAAACAAGAGGAAAAATTTACGAGAAAAATATTAGCTAAAAAAAGATAAAAGATTTATGGGAAATAAAAACATATTGTGCATATTTCTGGCTAAAATCGCTCCATTGGCTGTTAGTACACCTGTACTAAGCTTTTACAAAAAATGTTGAAACATGTTGCAAAAAATATTATAGCATTATCTTGAACAATTTAGCTCCCTATTATGCCATTTTTTTCATCGCTGCTTCATTTTCGTTTTTTTAACCTACCCGCTTTTGACGAAGTTCGTCCATAGTTTCGTAACATAATTCGATACTTTAATATCTTCCTTTTTCTTACAGAAAGGTGCGACAAAAATATTCGCCCCGAGACTATAGATAAGTTCGATCCCGTGAGTTGCAGCTAAAAAAAAGTATTTTCCACATCGAAATCTGTTAATTCTTCATTCCATACATTTCTAAAAAGAACCTTTACGGCGGAATACCAAGGAAATTATCGATACTATCGAATGAGAACGACTAATATCAATGTGATCAGATTATTTCGTAATTAATTCAAAAAAATATCGCTCAAAATGAGAAATAACCTTTGAAAGGCATCGAAGATCTGATAAAATTATAGGTAGATGGATTAAAATATCGCATCAAATAAAGGTACACATTTTCGCCTCTTTCAGCCGTTTTATTCGCATAAACACTACATCCATAGTTATTAGTTATATCGCTAAGTATCTGCAAATTTCCGTTCAAAATTTTTTTTGCAAGACCACTTCATATGCGACGAAAAATTATCTCAATATACCCGTAAAACATGGGAAAAGTATGGCAACATGGTATGTCGCTTAGACTGATGAGTAGCCCCCACAAGTCCTTTATGTAGCTCACGGCCCACTGAACGATAAATAAGCACTTATAAACCATAACCACTGAAACCTTTGCTGAAACCTGTCGGTCAATAACGACATATGTTTATTCATCGTTTATCCACTAGCTACGTGCCGCTCCTCTTCCCTACTACATTGGTTCCTCGCGTGCTTCCTTGCATTGCTCCTAGTAGCTCACAAAGTCCACGGCGCCCCTCACCTTAAAATGCAGTCACTATTATGCATTATTGCTAGAACGCAGTTGGTGGCAGGCAGGCAGTTCTGCTTTTTAAGAACGTAGTGGAAAATGTACAGTTAAGTTTCGTATTGCAGCTTCGCGTAAAGTCTTGCATGCAGTTAGTTAAATTGTAACTAAATCGCATAATGGAAAAAAAAGAAAATAAACATAAGTTTCTTCACTCTTAAAAAAATTCATATTCTCTCTCTGCTCAAAAATGAGCAGAATCGATAAATCGATTGAGGACCTATCAAAGCATGGTTTTGGCCGTGATCTTGTGTTCGATTCTTCTCCTTTTTAGGTAAAATTTAATTCGATTTTTATTGGTAGATGAGTGGTGGATTGAGGGTAGGTTACCAATTTTATTTATCTGTTTAATGTAATTTCTTTAGTTGAGTTTTTTATGTCGTTTTGTAATATATCGTAATGTAATATATTTAATTTTACTGTTATTATGTTATATTATCTAAATATCTAAATAAAAGATCAATTACCCAAGTTTGAGGTACATATCGAACGATAATTACGATAATATAACGGAGAAAGAATTTGATTCTTTTTTTCGTTATATGGTGGCTCAGCCGATAAAGGAATAATGAGGACAACGAATTCGATTAAAAAGGTATTTAAGCTATTTTTATTTTAATTATATTCTCAAACGACTGCGCGCCATTTATTAAAAGATTTTCAAACTTGGGAAAATGTCTACAATCAAATTCCAAATCCAAGATACACTAACAGTTTTATGTAAAAATGTTGAAAAGGGTCATAAAGTGCTACTAAATGTCCGGAAGTATGATGAATTAATAAGCCAACTTAGAGAAGCATATCAAGGAGATTTGAAAGAAGTACGAGAAGACAAATCAATGAATGAGCTTAAATCAACTCAACGACTTCGACAAATAATGGATAGCACCACTAGCTGGGAAAAGGGGAAAAGGCATACGAAAAATTTTTTGACGATCCTTCTGTCCAAAAATCGATCAGCGAGGCAAATAGGTTGAAGACCAGATTGATAATGGAAGAAATGCAGTTGAAATTACAATTTGAAGAATTGGAAGAAGACGAAAAGAAATTAAAAAACAACTGCTGAAAAAAACGAAATTTGCTATATGGATGCAAAACATGGCCAATGAGAGTGGAAGATATTAAGAAGCTATCAGCCTTTGACCACTTCATGTCTAAGGTACATTCTACGGATCCGTCGAGCGGATAAAATCGCATATGATTATATCCATCTTCGTTCAAATACCACCTGCATTAATAATGTTATCACAGAGCGTCGTCTTCGTTGTTTAGGGCACGTTCTCTGTCGTCCATCACGAATTTGATGCATATTTCTTACTTGCTAAACCGTGTGATGGATGGAGTCAAAAGCGAGGTGGGCCAATCAAGAATTGATGCAGTCAGGAAAGATTATGAACGTATAGGGGGACCAACGATAAAATTGACTGATAAAATTGATAAAATTTAGATGATGGAAAAAGTAATGGCTTCTATTACTACTAGCCATGGCGTCGGACCGGGCAGCTTGGAGACGTCTTACTCTTGCAGAACCAGCAATGGTGAGAGCTGTTAGAAGAAGAAATCGACTGACATAATAGTATGCTCCATAACCGAAACTTAATGGATACCGAAACGTGCTCAAATTGAAAAAATTATTAATAATGACTTCATATATTGCAAAAAATGGAGGGCCAAGCAGTTTGAATTACCAAAGATGAACAAATTTCCACGAATACGAATAAATCGAAGTGCTCCCTTTTCACATATTGGAGTGGATCCGATTCGGATAAGATGGTTCCAAGGTAAAAAATTGGATCGCTTTATTTACTTTCCTTGTCACAAGTGCGATTTACTTGGAACTCGTTGACGATTTAAAAGTTTTTTACTATCGCTAGGAAATCTCATCGAGCTCAGAAGGAAACTAAAATCGTTACTATCAGACAATGCAAAATACTTTACTTTATGAAAGACCACAATATACAGAATATATGCGGAGGACAAAATGGAATGGAAATTCATTCCCAAGTATGCCCCATGAGCTGGTCGAGTTTACGAACGTTTAACTGGAATTATGATAAGGACATTAAGAATAAAAGTAGCAAATAGAATCGTAGACCGAGATCGATTCAGAACCCTTTTGTGTAGGATCATACCTGTGGTAAATGAGCGACCACTTTGCTACATAACGAGATGGTCCATTTGACTTACTTACGCAATAAAACGCGCCATGGATTGTAGAGCAAGATAAGAAATATGAAATAAAAAATAAAGAATGAGAGATCAAATTATTGAAGACTGGGCGAAGGATACTAGAATAATCACACATTTTTGAGATTTATGGCGCAGAAAATAAACTTTACGTGATAGACGAGTTTACCACTACCAATCAAGAGTAACTACAAAACGATCAGATAGATAAACTAGTTATTTTTGCCCGATTCCACTCCAAGATCGCAGTGGAAGTTGGCTTGAATCACAGATCTACATCGAAGTTCCAGAGGCAAGATACGCTCAATTTTATTAAGATTGGCTAACAACCGAAAAACGAGTCGACCAGTCAACTTAATAGCCCCATTAGAGATAATTGAAGACGTCAACAACACGAGGAACAATTCGAGCTGGGCTATTAAAAGCTTTTCCAGCAATATGCTTAAAAATGAGCAGAATCGATAAATCGATTGAGGATCAATCAAAGCGTGGCAGCGGCCGCGGTTTTGTGCTTGATTTTTCTTTTTGGGCACAATTTAATTCGATTTTTATTGGTAGATAAGTGGCGGGCTGAGGGTAGATTAACAATTTAATTAATCTAATTTGATATAATTTAATGTAATTTGGTTTAATGTGATTTCTTTAGTCGAATTTTTTGTAATATATCGTCGTCTAATTTTTTCTCTTATTATGTTATATTGTTATTTAAATGAAGGTTTAATTACCTAATTACGATAATAGAACGGAGGAAGAGTTTGATTCTTTGATTTTCTGCGTGGCCCGTGACAAAAAAGAATTGCTGTCTTAGACTAATCAAAAATCAGAGTTCCTACGCATAACTCAAGTAAAAAAGTTGGGTGGTGGTACGGATCCACTAACATTTTTATTTTTGATGAAAACTCTGTAGCAAAATAGCCTCATCCTATTAGCTCATGGAACGAGCTTTACCGGATAGTCCAACCACTAACTGGCCAAGTCCCAATATAGAAATGAGCTGAATGCTCCCAAGACTGCAGACGATTTACAAGCGATTCCAGTGTTTTTAGTCCGAGCATATATATATATATATATATAGGACTAAATCTGTAAAAAAAAATTCAAACAAAGTTCAGAGTTTATAAAAATAATGGAGAAAGAGAAAACTTACAGTCACGATTATTTTCCTCAAAACTTTTTTCCTCTTCATGCTGGCTTCGCATTTGATGTAAACATCATTTAAAATGTGGTTTACGAGAATTCGATCCATGGTGGTTATTTCAGAAATGATGCGAATTCCCCGTTCCATTTGTTTGCGGTCATAGGATATGCGATAGATGGTTGCTTAAATTTTCGTAAATTTTTGTTTCTATCAAATAAGTACGAGAATCGATGTGAACGGTCGAGCTGGGAAATGATTAGCAACAAAGATATCTATAGGAAGAATCGAGATTACCAAAAAGTAGAGCTTCATATTCGCAGACACCAATTATTGTACGTTTCACATCGACTTGTTGTCGAAGATCATGAATTGAAGCTGGTAAAAGATCGCCATCAATTATCGGTGTCATTGGAAGCGATGCTGTTTCAGTAATCACCTCGTTGTTTATCATTTCATCAGCAAATTTTTCGCTCGGTAAAGTTCGAAGATATCTGATCATATCGTAGTTATTGTCTCCTTAATATTTACATTAATCAGATTTTTTAACAACTGGGATTCTTCTACAAAATTTTTAATTTAATTTGATTAATTTAATTTGAATTTAATTTTTAATTCGACAAATTCGACTGATTCATCTGAGCATCTCCTGATTTACCTCGTTGACCTGGCTCATTGACTTACTGGCTGACTGCTCATTTTTCATTTGTTTTTAAATGATTTAAGTGTTTTGGATCTAACCTTTCCATCCTAACTTTTCTGCCTTTTTCTTTGAGCATTCTGCAACTTTTTCTTTAGGCGAAATTGCCCATGGACATTCAGCATTACCACCCATGAGAATTAATCGGTTGAATAAATCTAAAATTAATCGAATTACGAAGAATTTTGAATTTTTTTTATTTGATGCAAGAATTATTGATCTACAAGAATTCAAAGAAAAATTTAGCAGCATCACTCAGAAAACAAGTGTCCTCTATTTAGAAAGATGCAGTACTGTTCGTAAGAGGGTAAATCTTTTTCGTTCCCTTGTCTTTGAGCGATGTTTGCATTAAATTGTACGGAAACTAATCTGATTTAGATGTGGTTTATGCAGTTTGTCTTCGCAATTCCTGAATAATACTTTTCCGGCTTTATTTCAGCGTATGAGCAAAATTCTGACTGAGAAAAGGACTGTCAAATTTTTGCTCTTTCTTCACTTTTTCTCTTCTTTCTTTCAATGTGAGGTGGAAATAATTTTCTAATCGTTAAACAGTATGTAGGTGAGAGAAATTAAAAGAGTGAAAGGATAGAAAAGGCGGTCAAAAAAAGAGGTCCTGTTGATGCACATCTGATGAAAGAGACTATTATTATTCCCGTATGAATTAAAATACTCGTTTTCACTTCCGCTAAATGTTACGACGTTGCGCGTTCAATTTATCTCAACTATCTATTATAAACTCAGATATAGGTCTAACTTCGACTATATGGTGACAATGATAATAGATCGGCTGATGCAGCTCCCGCACTATGTCCAGCGACTGTGATTCGTTTTGGGTCGCCTCCGAAATATACTATGTTCTCACTTATCCATTTTAAAGCCGTCACCTGAAGTAAAAATTAAATTAGCAAAAAAGCTGGAACTATCGGCAAAATTTAAAAAAAGTGTGGGAGATCGTACCTGATCCCAAAGTCCAAAATTACCTATGCAATTATTGTCATTGGTTGAAAAGAAACCTAAATAGCCGAGACGATATTGTATGGTTACAATGATAATGTTATGCACCGCTAACATCCTACAAAATACGAATTTGCTTGCCATATTTATGTAATAATGATCCTTCAAATTTTTCAATGCATGATGTGGAAAAAAATTTTTCGAATATTTTAAATTTTAAAGCTTTTCGGAATAAGAACCTGGCAAGATTTGAATAATGATATCGTACTGCCGAATCCACTAGGAAGCCCCCACCATGTATAAAAAACAATACTGCAAATCCGTTTGGCTAAAAAAGAATTTTATGCATTGATTTTATGAAGTCGATTAATTTTTTTTCAACTTTTGATTGGTCATATTGTCTTACCTGACTTGGTGGCGATTTCCAGTCTGGCGCAATGATATTCAAGTATAAACAATCTTCACTGGTACCTATTCGAATACTTATTTTGTCCCAAATATGGTCGATCTGCGGAGCTCTTCGCTGGTACTTCTTGCACTCAAGAATACCATTCCATGATGAGACTGGATGGGTCTTCTAAAATTCTGCTTAAAAATTCACTGGTTTTATTGGAATTCTCTAAGCCGAGTTGTTGTAAGACCACGAAAAACGTCTTTGAATTTGCGAAAAATTTTATAACGAATAGCTTTACCATTTTCTCTATAAAATTAATTTATGGAAAATGAATTAATAAATTAAGAGCAATTTATTTTGAAATCTTGTTTTATTTTTTTTGTTAACCTTGAATCTTAGTTCACCGACAGGTGGATCGGCGTATGGAATGCCAAGAAAGATATTAACAGGCCCTCGATCACATTTTATTTGAAATCCTTCTACGCACCCATTTTTTGTGCCCACTTGTATTCCTCTAACATGTCTCTTTTTCATCAATAATGGGCTCATGAGCCTTCTGAAAAGGGCTTTGAATTGGCATCAAAAATGTCAATAATTCAAAGTGTGCATCAACTAAATCATTATATAACCTCATTTATATAAGGGTTCAATATCAAAAGCTCTTCTCTAATTGTGAAGAGAATTCTATTTTTTCTCTTAGATTAAATTGCATGAAAACAACTAAGCGAATAAGCTTATGAGAATATTCAATAAAATGTTCAATCAAAAACGAAGAAGTTAGAAAAGCGGCTGATAATTGGAAATGGCCATAATATATGAAGCAAAAAATTTGATCGCAAATCTTATTAGCCTAATTTTCATTTTCCACCATTTCCTGTTCATGATATTTGGAAATGAATCAAAATACAATTGACAAATTATGTGTTTTGCTAGGAAATTATGGCTGAAATAAAAAAACTGAAAGCAAGCAGTAAGGATTGATAGTGAATGAATAAACGTTGACTAAATCATTTGGAATGACGCGAATAAATTGGTTAATCGACAAATACAGGTTTTCTAAACGAGTCAGTTTTCGCATATCTATTGTTCATCATTTGGTTTAAAAATTCTATTCAAACAGTTTAATAGTAATAGGATATTAAATGAAAACATTGCATGAATTGTCTCGAATACTATTTAATTAGCAATCTGAACGTAATTGTTTTTTGTCATTATTGAGAAATATTTCGTTTATTGTTGCAAATTCAAAATCAGAATCCATCTAGCCAAAGCTTACTCGTTTAAAATTATCACGAAGTTTTGATTAAAATACAAAAAAACCATCAAAAATTTCCATGGTACATCTAAGCGAAGGGTTAACATAAGTATGCAACGAGTAGGAGGCTACGCCATCATCTTTCAAAGGATCATGAGCCATCATATTAATTAATTTCTTTTCATTTTAAAAAATGCCCTTTTGAAATCAAAAGTAATTAAATATGCTAAAAATGATGAATAGAAATGCAGTAAAACAGAGGTTTTTTAAAAAAAACCTGAGCACTTAAAAACAAAATCAAAGCATCAAATTGGTTAATCGTCTTAATATATGAAGCGGAACAATCATATATTCATCAATGAAATCAGTTACTTCTGATTTCTGTGTTTTTTGAAAACTGGTATCGCTATGAAAAACGTTAAATGTGTAAGAATTTCAAAGTGGTTGTATTTTTGAACATTGAAATAAATATCGAATATATGACCTATATCAATTTTTTTAGAGAGTCATAATATATGATTTTTCGAAAATTTCTCCAAAGAAAATTCAAGGGCAAAATTTTCACAGAACGCTATTTCAGTGCAAGTCATATTTTTCAGTTAATTCATCTCTTCTTTCTCAAACTTTAACTTCTTCGTTGCCTCCAAAGGAAGCGAAGTTCTCGTTGCTAAGTAATTAATGAAAATTTTTGTTGGGTGGCTAAGGAAATATAATGCCTGACTGTGGAGCAATATGCTCATCCAGTTCATTGATTTCAGGTTTTCTTCTTGTCGTCGTCTAGAGCTCGCCCAGCTGTAAGCAATACCGAACAATCCACTGCTTTTTTTGAGATCTCAAAATGTACTATTTTCTTCCAGACTGAACAGACACAGGCGATAAAAATGAGACCGATTTTGATGGTTTATTTCATTTGTTACTTCATAATCAATTTCGCTTAATATTTTGTGGCTTAATACCCATTTTTTATCAACACTACTTATTCGCTATGTATGCATATTTTCACAAAATTTTTTGAAACCCATGCATGGTAGTAATTTAAAGAACCGAACTTGAACAAAATATTGATAAAACATTTTAAAAATATTTATTATATCTCTTGCTTTTGTAGCGCAGGTAATGCTCAATCAGTTTGGTTACCAGCAGTGGCGGTGAATTTACTTATACTTCTTAACGTAGCAAATCATTTGCATACAGGTTTTTAAAGCTCCGCGGCATTTTTATGTTTTCGATAATAGAAAAACATAAGTACCAAAATACTTTATTTCCTTCCGCGTTTACAAAGTATAAAAAACTGACCTGTTTCATTGAAAGTCAAACCACTTTTATCTAAAGAAAAATAGCAAGTTTCAAAATATACATAGCTCGTTTTAACCAACTCCAACTATTGCAAATACTTTCCGGATAATCTAATGGTTTCTCGTCCAGGTAAATTTTATATCCGTCTTAATTATATAAGATCGATAAAAACATCGTTAATAAATTTACAAATAAAGCTGAGATTTCATCAATATATTCTTTAAATATTATTGACTAATTTCAAATGATTGTTAATAAATTATTTCAAAATTGAGACTAATGGCCCGATATGTAATTTATATCATCCTGAATCATATTTTATTATGGACCGTAGTTGCTGTATTTTTTTAGGATAATATGGTAGTTTGTCAGTACCTTAAAATTATTTCTATGAAAAAAAATCTCTTAAATAAATGTTTTGCATTTGAAATAGCGAATGAAAACTGAAGAAAACAAAAATGTAACAAAAACAAAAATGTAACTGAACAAATAAAACTACGGTGGACCAGACCAGTTTATTTCACTAATAGTCACATTTTCATTACCTCGATTCTCTGAGTTGCTTCTTCTCATATTCCTTCAGTTAATAACCGTAAAGTAGTTCAGTCGCAATGAGAAAAAATAGATGTGTTGCCAGTAAACTCTGAAAACTCTAATCTTGTCATTTTTTGTTAAATCCAATTGAGGGAATTTTCGAATTTATTTTCCAATTTTTTTTGTCGTTTTCAGTAACCAAACCTATTCAATAATTATGAAAGTTGGAATGAAAGGCATTTCTTCATAGAACTGTTCTTTTTTTTTTATCGCGAAGAAATGTATTAAAATTCAATCTGCACGAACAGATTTTAAAGGTTCGGCTTTTGACCAACTTTTATAAGGTTGTACAACAACTAAAATATGGAAAATGATATTACGATTCTTCAGCTTGGAAATATTTTACGCATAATACTAAATTAACAAAAACCTATAACCGCATCTTTGTATGCTTTGAACATTAAGTTACCAACCAACTTTCGGAACCAAGGGTTTAAATTAATTTTTTAATTCCAGTAAGCTCATGAAAATGCTGGTTTCGATAATCTATATTTGTTATAAATTTGTAAATTATAAATTTAGCGAATAAAAACTTTTTCCTGCTGGTTTTGGCCAAATTAAACCAAAAGAGTTCCCTCAAGCCATGGTCACAATCCCATTGAAAAAGTATATTGCTTAAACATATGGATATGACGATCAAGTTATATTCAGGGAAAATTTTGAAAACGGCGCTTAGTTCACAATGTTTCCTGATTTCCAACAATTTCTTGTAAGCCGCGGCATGATGAATACAATTTTTATGGTAGGTATTAATTACAATAGAACTGTATTAATTACAACTTTGCCATCATGAAAACTAAGTGAAAATCTATTTTATCAATCATTTTTTCTGCAGAGAAGTCATTATAAATGGTCTCATTGACGTTTTTTATCAAAAATTTGCAACTGAACCATAGAACTGTATTTCTGAGGAATGAATATATCAACGAAAAATTACAGTTTAAATTTTAGATTTGTCATTAAAAGAAAAATTCGCTTAGTGGCGAAATGGATGCACAAGCAATTGTCTAGCGTCCTAAAATAATAGCCAGTGAAGTCAATCAAATAATAGCGAGTGCAGCTGAAAGAAGAAATCACAAAAATCTTTTTTCATGAATTTTACGACGATTCAGTTGGTTTATTCTTTAACCTCTCTTTAAGCAAATATTTTTAACGAAATATCAAGTGTACTTAATAGCTTACAAACATTTTACTCTATATTTGTTTAATATGTCGCAGAAAATTAAGGATCAATAATTGATTCCATTTTCAATACGAATAATATTTCGAAAAAAGAGAAATTAGAAAAACTGCCGAAATTATTGAAAAAACTGTTGGTGAAATATTAAAAAGGATAGAAAACTTGAAAGAAAGGCAATAAAGTAGTTATTATTTAACTCAATCCATCTATCCACTAAACTTTCATTCATTAGAGTTTTATACTTATTTAACGTAAAATTTTACAAATCATTTGCGGAAATAAATTCTATCACTATTATAATCTCTAAACGAAACACATTCATAGCTTCGACCATTCTTAATATCAGACGGGGTTTTTCAATTTACTGTTAGAAGATTACGAATAATGTGCGGCATTATATTTTCTTAACGTTCTTTTTATGCGGAGCCTCAGATACAAATTTTGGCTGGATTCAAAAGTCTGTGGATAGCGATGAAGAAAAAGTCAATTGCTAACCTTAAATTTTTTTAAATTTATGTATTTTGTCAACATCTCACTGATAACATCATAATTTTGTGTTTGAATTACTATGCTTGAATTTCTAAATATTAATTTTAACATCAAATATAATTTTTCAGAATTTGACTCACAAAGTTGTCCAAGACATTAATAATAAGTCCAGTTTTACATATTATCAAAAACTGTTGAAAATAGACTCAACTGCTCTCACAAGAATTGGTAACGGATTACTCTACAAATTTAACGCTCACACTGGCTGAAATTTCATGCTCAAAAATAGTTTATAATTTTTTTACTCTCAAACATGCAATTATTAACATGATATTATTACAAAGATCTATTAACCTATCCCAACGTGATGTTCGATAAAAAAAAGACAAATAAGCGGATACCATTTTTGGTTAAGCTAACTCCACTAATTGTATGGTGATATATTCACTTAAAGACAGAACTATAGGTGGGTCCCCGCTATCATTGTGATCTTTTAATGACAGATTTACTTATATCGATGCTGAATCTGACTCCCAACAAGACCACAAAGCCTCGAAAAGATGTGGAAAATATGCCTTTAGGGCAAATAGAAAATGAGGAAAGACAGATCATTTTCGATCATTTTCCCATCAAGATGCAATAATAATAGATAATCGTCAACTGACCTGCGAAGCGAATGCTAATGAATCAATAAAGGTCGATTCCATCTCGTTAATGTTATAAATAAAATTTATAAAATTATCTGATTGATTTCAAACGAAAAAATTCTGCAGAGTTTTAGCAATTTCATTTGAAAACCAGCAAATAATTTAATTTCAAAAAAAATTTTGATGAAATAATATTACTGAAAAATTTAGACAAATAATGCAACAACCATGTGAAGCAATTGCGAACAAATTACTTCCGAACGAATTTATTTAATGCAGTAAATAGTTTTTTAACTTTTTTTCGTTATAAATGCTATGGCGTCTTGGTTTATTTGTACTAAATAATTTAAAAATTTTTCTTTCTGCCATTTGTAAATGACAGAAGATGAGATAAAATCCAGTTTTATATCATTTCTATATCATTTAACGTAAAAAATAACTTAGGAAATAAAAGCTATTTTTGAGGGTTATTTTGAGGGCTACCGAATAGCACGCAGATAGCGAAAAACTCTACACATGGTGTAGGAAATAACCGAAAATAAAAAATAATAGTAATACGGTAAGCAGTTAAAAAAAAAGTGAAAAACAATATTAACAATATTTCTTAACAAAACTTTTTCACATTATAAGTAGTCAATTATCCAGTATGCAAATCGCGCAGAATTATTTTTCTTCTTTGTTCACACAACTGTTAGCCAATTTGTGGAAACATCTTATTAACATATCAAAGAAACAAATTTCCTCTTGAATAAAAATAAACTAATTTTTTATCTTTACCTGCATGCGATTGCAAGCCTAACGCCGACGGGCAGTGTATGGCTATGTATGGCTCCTAGCGGGGATGCTTTTTGGGATTGACTAACTATTAACTCATCTTCGCCATATTCCTGTTTTTTTTTGAAATTTTTTTTTGAAATTATTGATCCCTCCCATAGATCTATAGCGAATATTCACTCGATGGAATTTTGTTTCTTTACGTTAGTGCTGCGAAATTCTTCGAGGCCGGAATTTCGCAGTGCTTTCGTAATGTGATTTTAAAACTCCCGTAGTGCATCACGTATATCAGTCAAGTGTTTCCAATCCTCTCGATCTAATGCCGTATCTGAAAGTACAGAAACCACTTCTTCCATCGTCTGACTCCATATATCAACAGACCATATCTGTTCAGGTCTTTTATGCTATCCATTGGAGCCTTGCCATCTCATGAAATACATTTTTATTCCTTGATTGGAGGCAAATAACAAGGCCTAACCACCGCAGGCGATGGTATCTTTTTTTGCAATAACTATAGTAAGAGGAGATGAAATAGTTGAATGCCCATTGCTCACACCGTGGCATTAAGAGTCAGGGATTCAATTATCATTAAAAATCTGTGATTTGGCAACTTGTCTGGCAAAAATTTCTTACCATACTAATAGTCACTGAAACCTGGAATGAAATGGGAAATGCTTATAGGAAGTACGAAATATTTTTTCAAGGTCTTTTTAAAATTGATATTAAACCTTCTTATATTGTCTTAAGCCCCTAAACACGATTATACTTTTTCTCCGGTTTTCATACAACCTGTTATGATTATAACTCGTGAAATTTCTGCAAATTTCTTCTTTAACACTTAAGAACCCCGTTATATTCTTTTCTCAAGATACTTGTTCAATACCTGTACTTGTCAGTTCTTTCCGTCATGTCTGCCATGCTAAAACTTATGAAATCCCATAAAACCCGTTTTGATTTGTGAAAATCTTTCCTCAGTCTCATTAGAAATCCTAAACTCCCTTCTATTCCATTTGAAATGTGTCTTAGATTCTTTTTTGCAACTTTGCCCCTATAGCCAACTGAGTAACAAATATTATTGCAATATATAAAATTATTTTGCATTCGATACCAATAAAATTCAAAAAACGCAAAGAATAGCTAAATTTATTTCAAAACTGCATAATTAACGGAATAGTACAACAATTTTACAGTAACATGCAAACATATTACTATAGACCAACATCGAGCTTGCAACATTACTAATGTAAGACGAAATTACAACTCAAGGGGGAACTGCACTACATATAACGATTGCATATATTTCCACACTTCCTATGGCAATCGTCAGTTTTCATTCAGCACGAGCGCTTCTATTTGGTTATTGCAGTATGGGGTGAATTGAAAGAATGGCCCAAACCAGAACTGAAGAGTTCAGTTATAGTGCGAAGAATAGCTAAAGTGAAAAATAAAAGAATTGGCTTTTCCTATTCCTATGTCGTCCTTAGCTTATTCGATAAACTATTACTTATTATTATTAAAATTCAGTCCGTTTGCTGTTATGATGAAAATTAACAATCATATGAGATTTCGAAATTTTTCCAAATTTGGAATGCTTTATAAAAATATATATTTAATATGATATGTACAAAATCAAATATATTTTGTAAACTGAATCAAATAAACTGTAAACTATATAAACTGAACTAGAAAGATGACTTCAGCAGAATCGCGGAACAACATCAGAGATCTCTATCCAGACGAGTGCAATATTAAGAATAGCTAAAACACTGAGCAGAACCCTCAATCTCCCAGGTCTCTGGTAGAGGACGAGAGCTAGAGGATGATGCATACCGCTCATAGAAGGGAAGAAAGGGGTTTTTATAAAAATTTATTAACTTCTAATAAAATTTATTAAAAATTTATTAACTAAATTCATTAATTTCAGATTAGAGTTGTCAAAAAAATCTTTTTATAATATTCTTGAATCTATTCCTCTCAGTTGTTTTTCACATTTGGCAAACCGAAATACTTCAAAAATTCTCGCTCATATTGAAGCGAATTATATGAAATGAGACGAACACAGCCGATATATGCTCATTAACAAACACCTAAATAAAGATGATTCTTGCAAAGTGAAATGGTTGTTGGTTGATGAGGTGGGTCGAGTGGTTGAGGAGATGAGTTCATAGATCCGTTGCCATAAATGAAAATGGTAGGGACTGCTTCTCGTTTCACTGCCTTTTAAAAACCTTTCTTTTCTGGCCCATCCTAGATTTTGTTTCGAGATTTTAAAAATAATATATCACAAAGTTGCCATTTAGCGAGGTGTGTCTCATTTCTTGCTATGAGCTACGAAGACTATGTAACGGTATTAGCATTGATTCACATGTTATTTTAGCTGAGATTTAGCTGAGGTCATCCCAACATGATTATTGTGTAGGATGCATCGCAGTAGTTTTTGCGCTTCGATATTTCTTGATGAGTTTTGTCGGTTTTAGATGTCGGAATTATTTTATCGTTTGGTTAATCAAAGTTTTCAGCTATTACATCTAAGTTTATTCGAGAAAAATGAACGTACCACTGATTTTACTGAAAGAAGGAACAGAATCGAAACAAGGGAAGCAGCAAATAATCGCAAACATAAGCGCATGCAGTGTTGTTGCTGACAGTATTCGAACAACTCTTGGTCCTAGAGGAATGGATAAACTCATTGTTGACAGCAAAGGTTCTTTCATTTTTGTTTAATACTGGTAGCATCAATTTAAAGTTTTAATGTTCAATACAAAACCTTATTTTGGTTATGGTTATTGTGGCGGTTTAATACAAAATTTTATTCGGCGTCAATCCGATATTTTCGATGTTTATTATAGCCTCATAAAATATAATTTGAGGACATACATCTATTTCCAACGATGGCGCCACTATCTTAAAGCTTCTCGATATCGTCTTTCCAGCGGCTCAAATTATGGTGGATATTGCTAAAAGTCAAGATGCTGAAGTTGGTGATGGCACAACATCTGGTTTATTTTTTATTTAATTTGAGATTTTATTCTTTTAGAAGAAGATCAAGGACGGCAGTAACATGCCTCTTAATAACCAGAATACAAAGCACTGATATAATAGCACTGATTAATTATATAAAAATGGGAAAAAGGGTATACTAGTCAAAATGCACTAAGGATATGTATGTATTAAATATATTCATGGGTGTTTCCGTTAAATTCTTTTTTAAAATTCATATGTCCAGTGCTTTTCATATTATTCAAATTTAAAGGATGGTCATGGGATTCCTTAAATCTTGATCAACATAACCGAGTATAGAGCTTGAGTGTAGATGATTTAGGTATTAGTTTTTTTTTTAGAAGTGCTTCTCTCTTTTTTCTAATCAATTTACTAGATATATACCTTTTTTTTTGCAATTCATCGCAGACCTATTTCAAATGTGATAAGCGAATAAAAAATTTCAGTGGTAATTTTGGCGGCTGAATTTTTGAAACGTGCGAAACCATTCGTTGATGACGGCATCAGTCCTCAATTAATCATTCGTGCATTCACGAAGGCTTGCACTGAGGTTTATTTCATTACTGAAGTTCCCATAGAAATATATATTAATATTTATTAATATTATATACTAATATTTATTATATATTAATATTTATCATTTGCTCTTCAAGATTCATGGAATTTTAGGCTAAAAAGCGGTTAATGGAAATAGCTGTTCGTGTCAAAGACAATGGTAGTACTCGTGGAATGTTAGTCCGTTGTGCGATGACAAGTCTTAGTAGTAAATTGGTATTCATTATTTCTCTTTAGTTTGAAAATTTTTCACTAATCTAAAATTAATATGCGCACGCTCTTTGCTTCCATTGCTTATTTGCGTATAATAGTTTTATTTTTAGGTTCGCCAAGAACGGCAATTTTTTGCTGAAATGGTTGTTGATGCGGTCGCTTGTCTGGATGAAAATCTACCAATTAATATGATTGGTATTAAAAAAGTTAGCGGAGGCTCATTGTCGGTGATTTTTAAGTTTGATCGATTTTTTGCTTAATTTGTTACTTTAGTTTGGTTAATTTAAGTTTGGTCGTAATCGTAAGTAGTCTAGTAAATAGACTATAATTTTTCATTGAGTGCCTGATTCTTTTTTTATTTTTCAATATATTTATTTTTTTCCTGCTTGCAAGATTTCAAGATTTAAGAAGGAAAAGATTTTTGAATTCCATAAACCAGTTGTTTTGATAAACTTTTTTGAGAAACTTGTCGGATATTGTAGACATTTTAATGTTTTAAACTGATTTAATGTCGAAAAAATTAGAGCCTTGTTGGAATTGGTGCCATGTTGAAACCCAACAACCTTAAATAATGATCGCCTTAAATTCAAAATTCACAGCAAAAGTGAAAATGGTTAAGTATTTCAGGATTCAATGCTTGTAAAAGGAATTGCTTTTAAAAAAGCATTTAGTTATGCCGGATTTGAAATGCAGCCGAAACATTACAGAAATCCTGCAATAGCATTATTAAATATTGAACTTGAATTGAAAGCAGAAAAGGACAATGCTGAGATGAGGATTTCGAATGTTGAAGAGTATCAAAAGGTTCATTTTCACAGATTTTGGTTAAGTGGCATTTATTAAGTGACATTTTTTATTTTTTCATATATACTGTTTATAATGGCTAAATATTTCACTTTTTTTATCTAATGATTTGTCTAAAGGCTTTATGAAATGATATCCATATTGCTTATATAAAATTTTTAGATTGTTGATGCTGAATGGAATATTCTATATGAAAAATTGCGAAAAATACATGAAAGTGGTGCTGTTGTTATTATATCGAGTTTGCCTATTGGTGATGTTGCAACGCAGTGGTTTGCTGATAGGTTAATTTTATTGAATATATTTTATGATTATCGAATAGTTTTATCAAGACTTTGCATAATTCTCATTTCATATTTTTTAAACTATAATTTTTTAATTCTGACGGTTTTTGAGAGATATGTTCTGCGCTGGCCGTGTAGAGCTAGGAGATTTGGATAGATTAATGGCGGCAGTTGGTGGTTCTGTCTTAACTACCGTTAATCAAATCAGTGGAAGTGTTTTGGGAAGATGTGAAGAGTTTTATGAACAACAAGTAGGAAATGAAAGGTAATCGCGTTTAAATATATGTTTAATACAAATATTTTTTTGATTGAGTGTAGCCTGTTAATTCTGATGTTTGCGTAATTCAGGTACAACTTCTTCATTGGTGGTTCTCGCTCAAAATCTTGTACTTTGATCTTGCGAGGTGGTGCAGAACAGTTTATTGCCGAAACCGAAAGGTCACTGCATGACATCATCATGATCGTACGAAGAGCGATGAAAAATGATCTTGTTGTTGCTGGTATTTTTAAAAAGTTTTTGCTAAATAGATATCATTTTCAACCGTATTAAATATAATGTTTGAATTATTTGGAAACATATTTTGTTAAAAATTTTTCAAGGAGGAGGCGCCATTGAAATGGAGCTGTCACGACATTTAAGGGATGTGTCAAAAGCTATTGCCGGTAAAGAACAGTTCTTTTGGCAAGCATATGCGAGAGCATTTGAGGTTTTTAATTTGATTTTTTTATGGAAATAATATGCAAAGTCCTACCTTTTTTAGAATTCTTATTTCAAACTTGTGAACAAAGTTTTTAAGTAAAGAAAGTAAAATCAAAATTAAATTAAAAACAAAATCCAGTTGAAAATTTCCACCGAAAAAAGAACATTTTCGTCTTCATTACTTTCTTTGTAAAATTTTTGTAAGAAAATTTTTTTAGGTAATTCCTCAACAGTTATGCTATAATGCTGGTATCGATGCTACAGATATATTGAATATTTTGCGACATAAACATGCGAAGGGAGAATTATGGGCAGGGATTGATATTAATGCAGAAACAGTTAAGGATAATCTTGAAGAATGCATCTGGGAACCGGCTGTCGTCAAAATGGTATGTTTAGATAACAAGTAATTATTACGTAATTATTACTGTAAAGTCCTTCGCTATGTTCATTAATGTTGTAGATGTTGTCTCTGAATCGTAAGTGTCGTTTAAAACCGTCTAGAGATATTAATTTCATCATAAATGTGAAGAATTTAACTAATTTTCAGAATGCAATAACGGCTGCAACAGAAGCTGCATGTTTAGTACTTAGTGTTGATCAAACAGTGAAAAATCCACGAACTCCTAGCGGTGGGTCGATGCCTGGGTTGGAATAAAATATTGAAAATATCAGAGGTAATATTTTGGTAAAAGCATTTGTGCCGTTATTCCACTGTACTAGATATTAATTTCTACTGCAGTTCAACACAATGCTAATAAGTATTTTTATCCTTGAAGTTTATTTTTTTTATTTTTTTAAATCCCGAAATTTTTGAAAATGCTTTTTCTTTTTTGCCGTCTTTTAAAGCTAATACTTAGGTAATATTTTGTTGATCATTTTTGATGCACGAATTCTATTAATGTTCTTTGTTTTTTGTTTTCATTATTTTTCAATATCATCAATATTATCACTGTTAGTATTATAGTCAATTGACTAACTTTTGTTAGTTTGCAGCTGTTGATTCTTGTTCCTGTTCAACATACTTTCGCTGTTGTTTGCATAAAGCAGTTCCACAAAGGAATAGAAATTAAAATATCTTTTATATAGAGGCATCTGATATATCTAACAAAGCCAAAGAAAATGATGTGGTTATCACTAATATGTTTAAAATTTTGAGAAAACTTTCAGGTTGATATCCTCGAAGTTATGGGGTTTTGCAACTTAGTCGCGCAAATATGCAAGCGAGTTATATTTTTATTTGTAGTTATAAATCTTTTTTGGGTGGAACAATTTTTAGTTGGAAATGAGTGGGAAATTGTCCGTAGTACACATTGTTTGAACAAAAGAGAATTGTCGATATTCTAGCTAGCTTGCTTTGAGATTAAATGTTGTGATTTTTTGATTTAAAAAATACTAATGCAGCTAATACTAATACTAAATATAGAGATAGGTGGATGATTTGTAATATGAGATAGTTTAATTTGAGCTTGTCGAGTGGTTTTGCTATCAAAATCGTTCAAAATCCAGGGATGATACAGTACGATTCTAATGAAGATAATCCAATGTATATTAGCCATAACAGAATAAACAACGTCGCGGTTAGCACCTGCAATTTGTTTTTTTTTATCCTCAATTTTTTCCTGATTATGATATTTTCCATTTTCTTTGAAAATTCACAGTCTTCGGAAAGAAAATTCGTACTTCAGAAAAATTTCCTTGTGAGAATCACATGAGACACTTTTATTATGAAAGTACCATAGACGAGATAAGAGTTACCTTGAATCTGAAAGGTCCTCCAAGTTCTCCACCGATAATTGGATGCCTTCTTAAAATAATGACTGTTATACATACTAAAGCTTCAATGCAAAATATTGTTACTGAAAAGGCCAATGTTCCTGGATCAACATAAAATTCGCTACCGTTAAACCAGTGATATATTGCTGCTAATGTCCATGCCATACCTTAAAATATCGTTTATTGTTAGTAAAATGCATTCAAGAAAATGAAAATATGTTTATAATAGCTGCAGAAAAGAAATGGTGTGGTTCTATATAAATTTCTGTACAAATGATTTTGCAATTTGCAAAATTTTACGATAGAATAAAAAAAATGGTTTCGTTTTTCTTTTTTCTTTTCCTGGGTTTTTTTTTGAAAAAATATGATGAGATTATATGAAGCCTTTCTAGGAGGATATTAAAGATTTATTATTTTTTATTTGTGAAGAATCTGACAAAGGGTTCGGTATGCTGATACATAGAATGCCTGAGTGGGTTGTGGCTCTCATTTCTGAGTGCACTAGAGTTCTGCTCATGGGTTATCAGGATGATGTTGGCTATCTCTGCTTCCAAATGACTCCCTAAAATTTGCATGATCCAGCGGAGTGAGCTTAAGCGAATATTTTACTAAAAAAATGAAGCCTGAATTCGTACCATCTTAATTATTTAAAAGCAACAAAAAGAGATAATTCACCAATTCCAAGGAAAACATTAACAGCGTTAGATCCGGTAACGTTACCAATCGATGAATCAGCATATTTGTCTTGAATAGCGGCTACTTTTGAAGCAAATGTGTCTTAAAGCTGCGCAAGTTAAGTATTCGAAAAAGATTTTAGAAATAGTTTGCCTGAGGTTTCAGCGATGCGATAAACTTAATAAAATACACAAATCGAACAAAGGTAACCTGGTATAGACGTGCCAAGTGCCACAAACGATATTGCTGTTACTGCATCTTTTAAACCAATCCAACAGCCGAAATGAGATGCTAAATCACCTATCACTGCGGTAAATAATCCAATTAATGCAATCGATACAATGAAACATGCCCAGCCGCCCCAATATTCTTAAAATTCGACGAATTAGTTGAGGACCTCAGGTTGTTAGAACTTATTAAAGATAAGTTCTAATGAATTTCAGCTAAAAAATTGAATTTTTGGTGCGCTAATACTATTAAAGTTTAAAAATTTGGGAAAATAATTTTGGTAAAGACTAATTATATAAACTATGAGTAGTGTGTATATGAATTATTGATATTACTTGTTAAAATATTTATTTTGCAAAGTTATGGAAAGAAAAAAAATTCTCACCAGTAGGAGGAATTGTTGCAAATACTAATTTCCACGGCACACACACAAAATGCATCAAATAATCCATAAATTTTGGTTCATTGCTATCAGTAGATATATTCCCAAACCCCTCCTTTTCATTACCAATGTTTCCTCCTGTACAATATATTTACATAATATAAATATATTCTAAAATGAATGGAAAGTGTGCGATCTAACATTCTCATTCATTCATTCATTAAGTTAAATGGGCTAAATAGACAAGGAATTATCCAGTGATATAAGTTTTTGGACCACAGTTTTTTCTAATATGCTTGGGAGCGCCGATGCTGAGGTTCTATTCCACGCAGGAGTAAACCTGTACCAAAAATCCGAGCGACGACCCACTGTCGACTCACCTGTATTTCTATCGCCTAAGGGACTCCTTGGCATATTGCTCAATGTGACAAACAAGTGGAGCGAGTTCAACCAGTAATGGTGAGGATTCTTAAGAAAAAAATATAAATCCCACCACATCCTGGAAACTTTTGGTGCATCTTATATGGTTGGAAAATGATGCAGGAAATTGTTTATCATAGAACCATAAAATAATCATCATGGGAAGAAAACTCGTAAAACTCATTTTTATTCATTTTTTAAAAACTGAAAATTAGTATAACTGATACCTGAAGCACTAACGGTTAATGCATCAACAAATTGTTCTCTCCAGGATGAAGTGCCGAGCATTAAGGATGAATTTGCTGTTCTCAACATTCGATCGATGACACTCTATAATTTTGGGTTATCGTATGTTCTAAAATCAAACATACTTAATGAAAAATCGAATGGTTTAGTGGCACAAAGAACCAAATCTTACATAGATATAGATATCTAAAACCTGAAATAAAGAAATGTGAGATCCGAAACCTAAAATCATAACTTGCTGACAATAAACTGATAGGAAATACTTGTGATGATTTTAAAGCTTTTTTTCGTAGACAATTATAACAAATATATTTCAAAAACTAATTGCCAACAAACCTGGAATTCTTTACTTTCTTTAATGATTATTTTACATGTTTTGATGTCGCCCAGACGAGGCTTACCAAGTTCAGCAATTTCCAATTGTTCGCTTGTTAAATTTATTTTGTCATGCTTTGAATCTAAATAAAGCAGCTCTAAAACAAAATCGAAATTTAAATATTACTAAAATACTAATCGCATTGTAAAATAAATACTATAGTAATTTAATAACATTGGAAATATCAATGCACTTTTTCAAGGAGAATAAATTAGGGTGAGAGCAAGTGGTACAAATAAAAGAATCTACTACTACCCAAAGCCATTCGCAGTCGTTTGTACAAAAAAAACCTATTTCTCATCCCTTGTGAGTAGTAAAGATCATTCTCAACCACAGGCCTGAGAAATTGAGGGTTCTGTGCAATATTTTATCTATCTCTAGCAATGCGTTCTTCTGGACAGAGATCTCTGACGTTGTTCCTGGGGTCTGCTGAAGCCACTTTTCGAATTTAGAGGTAATAGTTCCAAGTGCTCCACATATATATATATATATAATATATATATAGGTGATAGAGTAAAAATACAAGAACAAGAATCTGTAGAAGCTACTATATATGAATACATCGATGCTGAGCTTAAAGAATTTCAACATGCAATGAATCAAACAGAAATAATGAAAATTATTGCAGTTTAAAGATTAAAACAAACTAAACCAGTGTCTTGTCAAAATTAAAAAAATATGGAAATAAATATGAAATATTTTCGTTTATGGTGAAAACCTTCATCTTGATTGTTTGTTATCCACAAACTCATGCGTTTCCTAAATAAATCCGGGACTGATTGCAAACTCGAGCACGAAGCTCGATCTGTCCGATTTTTAATTTTTTTCAAATAAATGCTTCCTGAAAGCTTTATTTGACAAATTCTTTCAAACATAGTTTCCTCATATTTAGATTTAATATATACTATATAATGCCGAATTTCTTCGAAAATGCTTAAATATTCCTTTATATCTTATCCGCTTAATTCGTGATCTATTAAATTTTTTCTATAGTTTCAAAATTCATTTGATTAGAGCTAATTTATTTCTCGGAATTTCGATACTGATACGAATTCCAAGACCACCTTTCGGTCAGCCACTTATAAGAATTCACTACACTTATTTCCATGCTTTAGTACAAAAAAGTGAATTAGCATTTTCACTATTTTATTGAATCTCTGTGCTGCAAATCGGAGCAGTTACCTTCATCTTCTTGATCACCCAATTGCGAATAATTTGCAAGTGATTTACTTGCATCATCACTATGTCGACTTCTGCAGAAAGTAGAGCAATATCGTTCTTTTTTTTTCTCTATTCGTTTTAATATACGTGCGTACAATCTTCCCATATCTGAGACATGCGTTCACTACAAACATGCATTGCACAGAAGAATTTCAGGATTTCATACAGAAATTTCATATTTTTTAATGAATTTAATAAATTCAGAAAATTTTACTGAAGAAAATTCTATCAACAGTTCTAACATAAACTTTCAAATAAATAAAGAAATGAACGAAAAAAGATCAACAAACTATTCAACAACAATTAAAAACATTCAAAAAACATGCTGGAATTCTGCAAATCAATTCGTTTTAGTTGTTAAGATTTAACTGCATTTGAGAAGCAGTTTTAAAACTTTCATTTGTATGTAAAATGATGAAATTTTTTGATAAATAAAAAGAAAATGCGATGAATAAATCGTAAGTATAAATCATAAATCGTGAATGAAATGTAACACTCTGAGGCCGAACAAAAATTTCAAAAACTTCAACCAAAATATCATGAAAGTAATAATTGAAATGAATGATTTAAACTATATCCTGTTTATATAAATTTACCTGACATTTTTTTGGTCCATATAGGCTGATAAAGTTCGACAAAAAAGTAATCCGTTCGTTCATACTGTCCCGTATCCAGAATGCCAATTTGTATTTCGCCTCTTAATTTTTAATAATTTGCTAATTGTCCTTATTTTTATCATTCTTTCGATACTACCTTTAAGTTGTCCGCATCCTTTATCTTAATATATATATATATATATATATATATATATATATAGCCTTTCTCTACTCTAGTATTTCCACTGTTATTCCACTGTTCATTGTTTCCAATACGTGTACGAGAGCATGGCTTTGCTTTTCTTGCTTAGTTATTGTATTTAAGACATAAGCATATAGCAAATAAAAAAATAACTCTATGAACTAATTAATGAGCCTAATTCTTAACTAATATGGATTACATTTCTAATATCTAATATTTTTCTAATATCTAATGTAACATCTAATATCTAATACAAAGAAGGTGGTTAAACGAACTCGGTTTGATTGTTATCGAATACTATTTCATTTTCTTTTGTTGAATAATCATTTCCAGCTACTGCTGAACCATCATATGTTCTGCAATACGAAACAATCTTTTAATTAAAAATATTAGAGCACAGAAGGAGTAATTCAATGAAACTGGTAAAAATCTGCAAGACAATGAATTAGCAAAAATGCGTCAGAAGGCAGATGATAAAAGGAGATAAAAAGACCGCTGCCTAGACAGCATCTTCCGCTTTTCAATTCTTATTAGCAGAACAAGTTGCTCTAAAAAATTTTTTAGAAAAACTCTTTTGAATTCGGTTCGGATCAGCCAGCGATACACCAAACTTTATGTTCAACTGAACAGATTAGCTAAAGCCAAAGAAAATCACAGCATCAGATCGAATTTCTTCAAAAATATTTCTTTCTTTTGCAATGATCCATTGTTCTCGTCAAATTAGCAAATTAGCAAGAAATATGCGTAGAGACAAGAATATTCAAATGTTTGAAGCATTCTATATATTTATTTTTTAATGAATGTTATGTGATGTAAGTTTAAGAGGAGAAAGGATGAATGACACAAGCAAATGAAATGGAAAAAAAATTCACCTATAAGGAAGAATAACTTTGCCCCGACATCCAGAAGTACGCCAAACTTTCAACGACACGAACCCGCAATTTTCATTCACTTGAAAATTTCCTTGCTTAAAAGCAAAAACACCGGCGTGATCATCATCTGTAAGTACTTTATATTTTTCTCGATTCGAATTGTTAAATTTTTTTTTACTTCAAATATTCTTTATATTTGACGTAGTTTCTCGTGATGTAACTGACATACACAGTGGGATTAAAAGTGAGTGTAGTGGTGCCCATACTGAAGGCTGCCTATTAACACTAATTTTATCTCTTTTTGCAACTTATGAGATGAAATGAATCCTGAATAGTCAAAATATTAAAAAGAAATGAGTTTTCTCAATAAACTTCGTTTAACACCTAAATTCTTCTTATTTCTGACTTGGCTGGCTCTAATGACCATTATAACGACACTTCTTCGTCAACAAGTCATTTGAGAGTAGAAGTACAGGTAGGTCCTTAACACCAATCTGCTTATAAATGGCAAGCTTCGAAAAGCGAACATGAGTCGAACCTACAATGTTTTAATCTAAGCCGAGCCAATGTGCCAATCGAACCATCCTCTCTCCCCATTTACAATCAGTGCTAAAATCTTCATTTTTTTCAAATATCTAGTCACAACTTTAGGACAATTAAAGCAAACTTTCCAGTAAAACTGACCGAGTATCATGATAGTTGCTGCATAAGGCATCTCTATGCAAGCAACAGGAGCTCCATTGAAGGAAGGAAGCCCAGTTACGCGATTGTCAGCGGTACGCATTCGTAAATTAGTCAAATGCAAATAGAAGTGCTCGTCTTCCTCGAATACATCATCATCCAGTATTTCAATTGTTATTTCCTTAAAATATTTAAAATTAACTGCATTATCATTCAATGAAAAGCATTGATTTCTTTGTCCAATTTTATATTCCATTTTATGAATTTTTTTTTTCAAATTCATTATAATGAAGAACAATGTGAAAATCAACTTGAACATTGGCTTGAATTTACGTAGCTTTTCGAGCTAATTACATTTACAGTTTTGTTGATAACACTTTTCTTTCGGAGTATGAAAACGTTGAGATAACAATAGATTTTGTACGCCGTGAAAGAATTTGGCCGATAATAACATATTACCTTATGTCTTTCACCAGGATGGAAAGTCAGCGTTCCCTGAGCACGAATATAATCACTTCCAGCTTCAGCTGAACCATCTTCAGTATGATAATCAACCATTAAAGTAATATCATCGGGCCCATCTTCACGACGAACAACGACATCGAATTGCCCAATATTTTCCATAACTGTATAATGTGCTGGTTCAAAGAATATTCGGCAAGTATTTTTTTTGGATTCTTCTTCTCGTTGAAGAAGCTGAAAAACTGTAAATTAAAATCGTAAAATTGGTAAAAAATTAAAAACCTGAAAGACACCTAAGTGTGCTCAAACTTGATCAAAAGGTCGCCGAAAGGATGCGGAGAAGTTGTCATTGAAATCCCCATTTAAATGATTTACACATGACATGAATCAGCAGAACTTAAGCAGCGACTTGGAGTGGTCCATCTTCGATATTTTCTCAATTATTTGTCCCTTTATTTTGTTGAATGGCTTTTATATTGTAGCGTTTTTAATCTTATGATATCGGTTTAATTACTCAAATTTGAGAATACCAATAAAATACGATCGAACTGTATTTTCATGTGAAAACGAACGAACAACCACTAAAGAAAACGATTTACAGCGAAACTAATCCAAATAGTGACAATAATTTCCGTTATTAAGAAAATCGTTAGGTCACATCATGGTATGCTTTGGTTATCTACATCTATCTCTCCGGTTCTTTTAGGCTAGCTCCCAAAAATACTATCACTTTTCTTTTTTCAATGGTCTCTATTTTTGCGAAAGACTGCCAATTATGACAATGCGCAATAAATGACTAAAGCCAAGTTTTGCAGTTAATCTCAATTCATTTTTTAAGAAAAAATATTTATTTTAAATTGTTTTCATTTTTTAATTTGTTAGAAAATTGCTGAATGCATTCTTTGTAAATTATTTTGTACAAGCATAATACTCTTAAGAAATTCTGTCAAACCTATGGTTTTTTTGTTCTCCTTTTCAATTTTGAAAAATTAGTAAAAACAAACAGTTTCGAGGCTTTTGTGATGATCTTTATTAACTCTTTTTTTAATTATATCACCACCACCAACCAATCTTCTTGTTGCTTGCACTCTAAAGTTATTTTTATTTCAATGAAAATTTATGCTTTTTTTCAAAACATTTATTTTGAAATATATTTGATAAAAATAAACGTATTTGAATGGAAAAATAATTATTACTGTAATTACTGTAATGCAAACGTTTTGATGCTGTTCGAGTGAAATAGTAATGAAAATAACTAGAAATTTAAAAATCCTAAAATAATAAGAAATTTTGCAAAAAAAAAGATGAAAAAGTGATTTTAAAGAAGTAATGTAATAAATAAATTAATACTATAAATAAGTAATAATATCACAAATAAATAGCAAAACTTTTCAAGTTTTTTTTCTCATTTAGCAAATATAGTATAATAGGTTTTTTTTCCGATATTTTTTATTACAAGGCTTTTAACATCAATTTCCTGTCAAAATTTCCTAATTTCGAAATTTATTTATTGTTACAAAGTTATTTTGCCATTTTCCATACCTATAAAAAGCTCTTGATTTGGGTCCTTGGTTGATTATTTCGTACTCCGCTAATTTTTCTAATTCTGTTGGATCCATTTCCGGATGTTTCTTGCGCAAATCTTTCATTATTTGTATAAATTTTGCACGATTATCTTCAAATGCCTTTAAAACGGGATCAGCTTCATCAACCTTAAGTTTGTTTGCTTTAAACATCTACATGCTATTAGCATACATATTTTCCTGGAAAAACACCCCCAAAGAATATTAGAATATTATTATATAAGAATATTAATAATATTATAAATAATATTATTTTATATAATATTATAATATTATATCTCGTCATTATTTTGTAAAAAATTCTTGAAATTCCCTATGGTCAAATTATTTCCCTTCAACATGTCCACATTCTTTCGTTCTAAACCTTTAACAACATCCTCTTAATTTCCATATAAGTTTTCTAGCTCAGCTATGTTTCCTCCCAACAATTTAGAACCACCTCATTATTTACCTTAACGCTTCATTAGGCCCTTCATCATACTGCATTAACAACATTACTTTCGATCTCTTTTCTATCTTACTCTTCCAAACACCATTATAATTTCTTAATAATTTCCTTACAACGTATTATAACCTCTACAATCCGAATTCCCTTCTGATCCTCTTTAATATCCTAGCAAACCATGCCACATTGTTTTGCAGAATTTCGGCAGTATAATAACATCTTAAACTCTGGTACTATGGCAACTCTGCATCTTAAAATCCGTTGTCATGGTCTCATAAAATCCTTTGCTATCAAAATCTGTTGTCGTCTTATGATAACCCATTAATCAGTCCTTCATATCTTCTGCTATTCGACCTGCCGTGTTGGAACCCCTAAGGCCTTTCATATTCATTCATTGAATTCTCGCAAATTATAAAGTTGTTCACCAAAAAACGATTAACTTAACAATTAAGAATTGCAAAAAATTGGTAGAAAGGGATAGGGAAAAAAGCAATGTGGAAACGAAGGATTATTATGTTATTACGGGATATTTAAATTAGTAAAGTTATAAGATAGCTCTATCTTTTGATGAGTAAATTCAATAGATAAAAATCAATATAAAATCCCGTCAGTATAGTTATTAATTTTAAACCAATATTTTTTTTAAATTATTGAAAAACTTATTGTTATCAATTATCTATGCAAGATAAATTTCCTCAAATAAAATTAAAAATTTAATAATTTTATATATATTTATAGCAGCAATAATTCAATTGTACTCCATGGTTATTTAAATTTAAAATTTGTTAAAAATTAAGTGAAAAAAATGAAGACGGTACTTCGATATATCCTTTTTCTTTTAGCATTGTTGCTTCTTCACCTTCCGTTGCAATCAAACCTCGGCCTGTTGAACGATAACGATGTGGAAGAAATCGTTTCTAAAAATTATAAGTATGCATAACCACTTAGGATATTTCTGAACCAATTAATGCATGTGTTTTTTATCTATTTTTTTACTTCTTTCCACTTTTCATCCACTTTCTCATCACTAGCAATTTTTTTAACCCACACCAACAAATTCCTAAATACATTTTACATTTCTTATTGCTTATAGTATTACAATTTTTTCAGCGCTATATCTTTTTTTACTACTTCTTTATCAATGAATGGAACTGGTAGCTCATTAGATACAGTAGAAATGCCGAATTTTAAAGAAAATTTTTTTTTATACATCTCTAAATGTGAAATGGAAACGTGGAAATTGGAAATTCATAGCTACAAAACTATTGGACATTTGCAAATTCATTTATATTTACTTAAGACGGAGATATTCTTCGTTATAGCTAACTGGAAATGTAGATCGTATTTTCTTCGATAATTAGTCGCCATATGACAATAAATGAATGATTTTACATCTAGCATCTAATTCTCCACTGTTTATTGTCTTTTCACTACTTAAAATCAAGGAAAAGAAATTTTACTGCTTTATTTCGCCGATTATATCCATCACATAATTGAATGCGCATAATGGAATAATTTGAAAAAGCTTAATAATGACTTAATAACATACTTGAATAATCTTAACATCAGCAATCCAAGCTGTAATAACTGTAATAGGAAAAAACAAAAATGTAAGGAAGCCTTCCCAGATTTCAATGATTCCAGGTGATATTATAGCTAATATGATATACATCCATATATAAGCGAATATTGACCTGAATTTTGCTTATTATTGAAATGCTTGCAAATTATCAAATAAATCGAATTTTTTTTCGAATCAAATGAAACTTTCTTCGATCTCGACACGTAGCCTCAATTTTTAAAAAGTTATTTATTCAAGAATAAATAAACTTTTTTAAAGCTTGAACCGTTTCATGTGGAAAATTGAATATAAATATTACAAGTACCGCAATAAAAATTAAAAAATTTGCTTCGCCTAAACCAAAGGAACTAATTATTGAGCAATAATTCTCAGCAGTATACTATTTTTAACGAATTTTTTATCTCTTCCTTTGTAAATTTCTCTAATAATATATAAATTCTAAAATAATATATTCATATCTTAAATTAATATATTACCAAGTAGCAGTAACGCAAAACACATCAAGATGTTTTTGTCGTCGAACCTCATTGTTCGGTACTGCAATAACACATATTGCAATAATCATGAAAAGATTAAATGCAGCAGAACCAACGATCGTATTTGGACCAAGATCACCAGCTTGAAATCTTTTTCCTATTATCTAAAAATGATGCACAGGCGATCTTTAATTAAATGAAAATATATATTTCATACTTTACATAATATAATGTATAAAAGAGAATAGAATGTTAATAGATATGTTTGAGTATGAAATATCAACTTTTATAGGCCAAAGAAAAAGATTGAATATTATTCACAGTGACGATAAAATTTTGTCTAAATTAAAAAAGTAAAACCTCTATTATCGACAATAATATTTCAGGAGCTGACGAACCTAAAAATTTTGAGTATTCATTGTTATTTACATATATTTACATATATATTTACATATATTTTCATCCTACTTTTGGAAGAAAATAAAGATTTAAAGATATTTTCTAAATTCAGTAAAGAAATATGGATTAATGATAGGAACCTAAATGACCTAAATAACACCAGAGCAAGAAGCCAAAAACATATTTCGAAGAATTATGTTTGCAAAGTTCTAATTTAAATCCGAAATATTAAAGTGAATGGGCAAAAAAAAAACAAATTCGTCATTAGAAAAGACAAATTTAACAAAATCGCAAACCTAAAGCCATCAAGGTGAGATTACTGACAGTGTCATTCCATATGCGCACCTTTATTTTAAATGGTTCAATTCCGTAGCGCTTTATTGTTATTGTTCGTTCCATACTAAAATACTGTATTGCATAGATATATATTGTATATATATTCTTATAGATCTTTTTAAAATTTGGAAATTGTGAATAAATGGAAAAAACAAAAAACAACTGGGTTACAGCATATAAATATTGAATATCTTATGTATCTTATGTGTAGCAAATTCTGTGTAAATTATGGAAAACTATTATATATACAAATGCATAGATTCTTCACTTTTTGGGACCACTAAATACACAAGGAATCTAAAATAAGGAATCAAGTGAAGTAAATTGCTTAACTTCCTGAAATTTCTTATTATATATGAATCGAAACCTTGTAATAACTTCAATCGATGACATAAATCTATCAGCAACAACAGATACACCAAGAAAGAAATAAGCGATTATCATGAAGAAGATCAAGCCACGAGAAATCCTCTCGATTAATGTTAACCCCGAAAATGGTTTCCTAAATTATTAATCCATTAGTTCATTACTGAGATTATTAAAGGATAATATTTTGAGGAAATGAGAATGTAAATTTCGGTTTAAGTGCAGCATTTTAATTTTCTCTAAATTTTCATTTTTTTCTGGATTTTTCCAGATCGAACTTGACGCTTAATAAAACAAGGAAAAATCACTGCTGAAACTTTTAAAATTCGTAGCTAGAATTCGTTATGCTAAAAATATAAATTGTGACTTAAGTTCAAAATTTTGCCTTTCTTCAAATTTGTAACTTTTTTTTCTGGTCAATATTCCCATTCGGAGCTTTATAAAATTATGCAAGAACATCATAAACCATTGCCAAAACCTCAAAAAACTCGTAGATAAGCAAGCCAGTCCATAGTTTTCTTTGCTTTATTAAAAAGCGCTTAATTATTCGAGTGGAAATATTAATACAGATGATGATGATGTACTAAAGCAGTTTGTAGAAAGCAAACGATCATTAAGAATCAAATCAAATAAACTAAATCAAACCATATAGGAATAATAATTCCGTCAACACAGTTCTTGATTTCATCATTTGTACTACAATTGCGCCCCGAGGCACAATATTCTGTTTGCAACAAGGATATAATCAATAAGTAAGGCAGCATATAGTTATCCACACTTTTTTCGTTTTTTGATTCAATTGATATTATCTGGAATATAATTACATCGTTTCATGTAATTCAAGGCCATGTAAATTCATATATGAATCAACGCAAAACGATTCATGGACCATAAAATTTCTATTGCTAAAAGTTTGAGTATTAATTTAATTTTACGCAGACATATCAGTGAAAATTTCGAGCAAAAAAACAGCCTAATTTATTTTTGGTGTATAAACCAAATCTCAAATAGTTAAGTGGAATCAAATAAAACAGAATTGAATTTACCTCATCATTATCCTACAATTCTTTTAAAAGCATTGTGCCTTACTTCTAAATAAATAAATAAAAACAATAAGAAATATAAGAGATAAAAGTAAAAACTATTGCAAAAAAAATTTAAACCATTTCAATTTAGAACTTCATTTTTTGTCATGGAAACAAAAAACTTTATGAGAAATGTAGTGAATGAAAATGAAAAATTTTCGAATTGACAAGTGAGGAAAATATTCAATTATAATGATAGGAAATGGATAAAATTAAAAAATAATGACAGAGAAAAAAATTTTTTTTAGTAAGCAAATATTTTACGAGCTTTTAAAAAAGTAAGCAAGTTTTCATGGAAAACATCGATGTAAGGAGCTTACCACTACTTAATAGATTGGAAATACTTCAGACAACATCGGATATTGCCGAATTTTTCTTTATGTCTATCTTAAACTCGTTTCACTCATTTAGCTATTTAGCTAATAACTTAAGTTCTATTTAATAGCAAAATTCATATGTAATGGGATGAGCCGGATGAATAAAGATCGAATCAATACGCTTCCATAAGAAATTTGTTAATCTCTGTAGTTCATCTGATTGATAGTTTTTAGGTTTTGTTGGCCACTCACCTGACAAAATTTCTAACCATTCTAATAACCAGAGGAGCGAGTCTAATCGGGAATAGCTAACCATTTTATAGATAAATTTTGTTGGATTTTTTCTATAAGTATTGTCATATTTGTACTAAAGATTTTATGATCATGTAAATTCTTTAGTTCAATTTATAGTTGAATTACATTCACACAGCAATAATGTAATTTGATATTTCAGATGGTTGCTTTCAATTATTAATAAAAAAAAATTGAAAAAATGACCAACCCGATTTCTTTTTTCTAAAATTGTGTAAATATTTGTCGTAATGCTTACGGAATCTTTTAAGGGCATTTGCACCACTGCATTTTTGTTTTGCGGTACTTATTAAGAGATTGATGATTTTTCAATTAGCAATGCATTTTTTTATTTTCTGAAATGTGAGAAAGTATGAGCGGCACTTAAGAATTTTCCTTTGTTCTTTCTATTTCGATTTATAGTGACATTTACTAGCTATTCTACAGAAAAATCCTAATCTTTACAACGTCGTTTTAAAGGGATTGAAGCAATCGAGTTACTGTTTTTTTTAGAGCCCTCACTATTACTGACTGAGTTCGCTCCGCTAGCTTGTCGCACTGAACAAAGATGCCAGGGAGTCTTCTTGATGATAGAAATACAGGTGAATCGCCAGGATTTCTGGATATGTTTACTCCTGCAGAGAATAGAGTCTCAGCATCAGCGCTTCAAATTGAGCAACAACCCACTGAGCCATATTACTCAATCGATTTAATATGTACGTCATATTATATAGTTAATATGTTATATTATATTACTAAGTATAACTGAATAAACAATAACTAAGGAGTAATTTAAGTAATAATGCATATTTTTATATCATATCATATGTCATATGGTACCGCCTACATTATTGATAATAGTTATGCCTAAATTTAATACTCTGTTGATTTAATCAGATTTTTAAGTTAGGAAAACATATGATTACATGATTTTTGCGAGACACAGATTATTAAGCAGATAAATATGCCTTTAAGCCTTTACTAATATGCATAATCTTTTTGCATGAAATCTGATCGGCTCATTTTTGTTTGGTTAAATGAAATCGAAAACAGTTTGATTCATTCGTACTAATGAAATTTCGAACAGAACACTTCATAATTTAAAAATTCATATACTTCGATTCATATAAATTAATGGAATAACAAAGATATGAAACGAAGATATGAATTAAAGCACTATAAAAAGCACTATAACAGCGACTAGCTGATTAAGACAATTAGACTTTCGCATTTTTTAAAGTGCAGTTTGACCAGTCTTATATAATTGCACTGGTATCATACAAATGGCGAAAAATGAAATGAAATGTGATTTTTAAGATTATAAGAAGTAGAATAAAATTCTGTATTATTTCATTAGTTAGCATATGCGAAAAATTAATTTTTAATCCCGTGACTAGTCATGATACCCGTTGAAGTTATGCATAATATGAAAATATATCTAAACATAAAATATTGATAATGCTTAATTGATTAAGAAGATAAAAATTATAATTGCAATTCACTCCGTTCTCTTTAAAAGTCATTATAAATAGAAACTTTTAAATAATTTTTTAAAAAAAATTATTTTAAAAATTATTTTAAGCGTTTACTTTGTTTATTTGAATGTTATTATAGACTTTTTAAAACTATTTTTTTCTTTTTTTAGCAAACAATTTTTCCTTTTCGGAATGATAGAAATTGATAGATTTGAAAAAAACTCTAGTTTAAGTAATAAAAAATGGATTCAGGCCAATATTAAGTAGATACGTTTTTTGATAATTTCGTGGAACTGTTTTCAAACAAGCTTGACAAAATCTTCTAAGACTTTGAAACAAAAGAAACTTTCAGACGACAAAAAAGCCTTCTTTTTGCGAAAATAATCGAACAATTATTCGAACCACCAAGGTAAATCCTTGCTGCAACCAAGATCAAACCATCGCTTCCTTTTCTTTTCCTTGATAGTAAATATCAATTAATCTGCCATTAAAAATGAAATTCAGGTCGAAAGACACCTGCACTTCTGTCCCACAAGGGTCCTTTGAAAAAATTTGCCATTTTTTAAGAAAAGAATATAAGAAGTTTTCGAAGTTTACGATGAATTTTATTTTCCAAGATTTATCTTCTCCAAAATTTTATCTTTCACGAACTGTTTTGTTCATATTTTTAAAAAAATTAGATTATAATGATAGCTTTTAAGTAATAGAAAAAAAGAAAATTACGTCAAAAAAGCATTTCATCTCAACAAAAAACGGCGAAATAATTTGAAAAATATTGAAGAAAATCTTATTGGCATTCGTTTCTATAGTAATACACTATAAAATATTTGAGTTTAATACCAAAGTATAGTTATATGAATTACATGAACAATCAATATGGATTAATTACTATAATAATACTGAGATATTAATACCAAGAATAAATATGCATAGAATATAAATGAACCATGTTCCACACCAATAGGAAATTTTCGAATTATTTCTGAATCTTGTGAGAACCTTTCCGTAAAAAGTATATACATATCCATTTCTTGTTCTATGAAAAAGCTTCTTACAAGCAAATTTTTCCATGCAAAGCAATCTGATCCAATTATACTCAGAAATAGCAAAATGAAATTTATTTAAATGCAATTACATTTTGCTCTTTGCGAATAGAATGAAAAAATAAGAAAACTTATGAAACTCCATTAGTAAGGCAACAAGAAAAAGCAAGGATCCACAGCTTGCACAAATTTAATTGTTATTAAAGATTTTATTGTGCTGTCTCAGGCGTCAGAGTTTGGATCACACCTCCGGTAAAACTGTCATTAAAAAATCCAGGTGATGGCGACCCACTTGTACTTCTTTTGCCAAGTGATTTCTTGGTATGAAAATTCCTTGTCATACTCGTAATCAGTAGAGCGAGTCTAACCAGAAATAGCATTTTTTTTCATGTAAAGCTGTTTATATACTTTCACTTTAATCCATAAATTAAAGGCTTCAATTTTGTAATCAATTGATTTCCATTCGACGATTAAAATAAATTTGCTATAACTCATATAGTCCTTTTTGGCTAATTATTCCTGCAATTATATAAGCCATTAGATAACATGTTAAGTTACAAAATAGGAAGTTAATGAGAACCTTTTTTCCACAAATTTTTCATGGCAATCCGTCCGAATCTATAGAAATTTCTTCTTTTTATGAACCGTCCCATTCTTCTTCCATAAAATCACAGACATCATCAATTATTTTTTACTTTATTTACAAAAAATTAGCAAAAAAAGCGGAAGGTAATCCATGAATATTTCGTTAACTAACGCGATAAATTTAATAATTACACTTCCAGTGAATATTTACTACTTATTATAATCTTCATATAAGCATCGCTAGTTAGAAATTATTGGAATGCATAACATAATTGCATCACATGCCTCACTTATTCTCCTTCATCTTATTAATCATTCATCAGCGTAAAAGAAAAGTTTTGCTTTCCACAAGTGCATTAACCAATCATAATTTCAAATACAAACTATGATAACTGAATTAAAGATTGAATAATTAAAATAAAGTTAGTTTTGTTAGAAATCGGTAATCAGGATTCTGGTAGAGTGGTTGACAGTGTAATAAAATTAGGAATAAAAAATAGGATAATGATAAAGTAAAATCAAGATACTGATAACGATGCAATGAAAAATCGTTGATGTGGAAGACATTGTCGAAGTATTAAACTATCATTTTATATCTACTTAAAATACAGAATTAGCAAACAACCCTCTTGGAAATGCTAAAAACATTTCATGCAATCATGAGAAATTTTCATACATTTTCAGCATTTCTTTTACTTCTTTATTTTTCATTATATCATTTATTTTTTCAATCATTAATTTACTTATCAAAAATTTAGGAAACAAAAGCATTTTGAAATTCTATAATTCTATAGAAATGCAGTTAATAAAATATTATAAATACTACTGCAAACGTTTAAACATTAAATTTCTAAGGCCAGAATGCCTTAGAAATATTGCAAAATGTATAGTAATAACAATAAATATATAAATAAATTCATAATAAGTATAATACTTATTACCGTTTAATTTCAGACAACTTTAATAATTCGTTAGAACAAATTCGTCAGAATAAATTCGTCATTCATGCTTGTCCTGTTAATCGATTTCTATCTTAGCAATATTTTTCTACTAAGTAAATATTTTCATATTTTACGAAAAAAATTATGCAAAGAAGGTAGTATGAAATTAGCCGAAATAAATGCAAATGATTACTGCTACTTATAATTCTTTTTCCAATCAGCACCTTCCATTCATGTTTGATTGACTGACTCTTAGGATGAGACCCATTAGTCAGTGGCAGCAGTTCAGGTGGTTCTCAGAATTCATTTTCAACAATAGATTCACTTCTACTGAGGAACAGGAATCGAGCTTATGATGGTCTAACTTTACTCGAAAGAACATACCTCTCGAGTGCCTTTAATGATTTAATAATTTAACAAAATTACATTTGAAAATAAGAAAAATATTTAGTTATGAAGCATTAATTCATTAATTCTTAAAAAGAGTCGTTGATTTTTTTTCTGAGATTGCAGATGCGAAATTTTTTCTTTCAAAAATTTTTATTCGATGATAAAAAATAACGAAAAGGATGCGTACTTTCAATAATTTTGCAAATCGGATTTAAAAAATCTCACTGAGAATATTTATATTTTTCGTAAAAAATTGAATAAATAAACGAAAATAAGGAACTTTGATTCGTTATTACTGCAAGTAATATATTATCTAACAAGATTGAGTGATACTAAAATATATTGTACACAAGAACGGCTGGAAAGAAAATCTTTTCTTCAGAACGCTTAACTTGTTATTACGAAATTACCTTAGTTTTTTTTTATAGCATTCAATTCATCATTTGAGGTTAAACTTGCTTCAATAACTAACTGAGATTTAAATGAGAGCCTCTCGTGAGAGAGATATACAATTGGGTATCCACCACTACTTGGAATTTTTGACTTCCATTGACAGGCTTCTATAAGGGCCAGATACCAAGCCATGACGCCTGAATAGAAAGTCTAAATCAGTGAACACAATGGCCTCTCTTGGAATCCATAGCGATCCTCAGAGGATGCGTGGGAGCTGTAATTTGTATGATTTATTCTTATTTTATTATAGTGATGAATATAGTGAAGACCTATTATTTTATGCAGTTTATTTTATTTTATTCATTCAAAACTCATATATAAAAAATTTTAATAAACATTTTGAACTTTTAAGCTTAAGAATATTGCACTGGGGAGCCATGGATTTCTAAGGCACCATCTAGGAGGTCCGCGGAAAGAAGTTAAATGACCCCTGATCCAAAGTAATACAGCACCACTTGGCCATATTTCCCCACTGACCACCTAGATTAATGCGAAATTTCAAATGTTGAAATATTTAATCTACAAAATACGATTTCTAGTGAACCACAGAAAATAGAATCGATTAATCAGAACGAATAGAACAATGGTTCAACAAGTGTGTACGTGATACGAAGAAATGTGAGTATAAAAAAATTATCCAAGCGATATTAACTAACCGACCGATACTTCCATACGAACTAATACATTGATCAATTGATTCAAATGATTTAAATCATTGGCAGTGATTCGAATTTTTTAGGCCTTTTTTACACAATCAAATTTATCGAGATATGAAAACTTTTTCTACTAATTTTTATCAAATTCTAAAAATTTTTTTCTTTTTCTCGATTGACTAAAAGATTTTGATATTTTAAATTAAATATTAAGTAAATTGAGTGGTAGGCGCTCTTACTATTTCTGGTTAAAAAACTCGCTCCTCTTAAAAAATTTTGTCACTTTGCGATAGAAGTGCAGAACGCCTAATGCTCGAGATGATAATCTGAGCAATAATCACTTGGCCATATTGCAGCCAAACATTAATATATAAATTATGAATAAAATATGTAATTATGGTGACGATTGAGATGATTTAAAACCAAAATAAAGAAATTAGCACTGCTGCAAGAAATGTCATCGGCCAAATCATCTAAAATTTAATAATATAAATTATTTATATTTTTTCCGCTAATCGACCATTTAATTCAGATATAAGTCCCAAACAAATGGCTCTGGCAAGTAATCTTCTATTTTTCGAACACAAATGAAAATTTCATATCATAAAGTAAGCGCGATGTAAAAACTTCGTCAGTTCGTCAAAAAATAAAAAAGATGAATTAATTTATGTTCCATAATTTTATCATTTTGTTGTAGCAACTGAAAAACATTCTTAGCAAGTATTATTTATATTCAATTGCTATAAATTTTGGACAAAATTGGACAAATTAGGAAAGACGAAGGAACATTATTGATAATAATCTTCAATAGTTTTATGGCACATAACATTATTCCTTCGACAAGTTCTTGTTTCCAAAACATTTAAATATTTACCTCATTCGTTTTGGTTCATTTTTTTTTCATTTTTTTCTTGAATGTTAGGCGTTTCCAACTGTTCAATTTTATTATCGCGAAAAACTTTTCATTTAATAGTTTTAACATTTGTCACGAAGTTCTCGAAATTTATCAATTTAATGGCTTGAAATATTTTATAATTTTTCTTTAAAATAATTTTTTTATTGAATTGAAATAGAGAATTATTTGCTCTAATCATTAAAATGCACGAACAATTAATCTAACTAACGTAATAATAAATGTTACCGGCAAATAATAACTGAATTGAATTATCGATTCATTCCAGTATTCTGTAAAAGCTAAAGCTAAAGTAAAAGAGTTCAAGCAAAAAAACCTCGAACATAAAAGTTTGGGCAAATGAGCCCAAGCTGGTCAAACAACAATTGGTGCTAAAGCTATATGCATTCAATAAAGATTGAAAAAAATATTTTTAATATTCAAGAATATTTACGCAATCAATGCACGCAATAAAAAGGAGGAATATTCAAAAAATTCCGCATTAAATTGTTTTCAAAAAAATTAAAAATAATTGTGTCTTTGCCTAATTAATGTGGAGATACTTAATTTTGCAGAAAATATGCAGCATTTTTATACCGTATGCCACCACCAGTCCACCATGTGGTGTTATTCACCAGCACTTTCATTAGCCGTTTTTTTTTGAAAGGGTCCTCATCATTACTGGTTAAACTTGCTCCACTGGCTTGTCGCATTGGGCAATATGCCAGGAAGTCTCTTGGCGATACAGGTGAGTCGCCAGCTTCACCCGGATTTTTTTGTTCTCCTACGGTGAATCGAATATCAGCATAGGCGCTCCCAATTGAGCAACAACCCACTGAGCCATTCTATCCTCTATCTCCATTAGCGGTTCATGGCAAACATTTCTCACCATACTGTCGCGCCCATCTAGAAATGGCGAGTGCTAACATTTATTTGCTTCAGTAAAAAATAAAAAATTTGTAAATGTAATTTCTGTTTTATATTGTATGATAATATATTGCATACTTCTTTTTACTCAGAGAAATACTTTTGTTGAAACGTTAAATTTAGCTGACACATGATAAAAATTTGTGTTTATTAAGTTCATTTCGCATTGTTTTGTAGTTAAAACTATTGAATTCTCATTTATTATTAATGATTATTGTATTTTACGAGTATTCGATTAATGAAGTTGGATTAAGCTTAAGAACATTATAATCCAGGATAAACCATATGAATTTGATTTTAAAAAATTATGTTTTGCCTTTTATCGCTGAGTATCTTAGCAAAAAAAGTACAGTTTAAAGTATATCGACTTCTATAGATAATTAAGCTAAGAAAATTTGAGTCCAAAAAGACTTGGTTAATTTATTGGCATCATTTAATAGAAATTAAAATATTACATTCATACAGTACAAATACTTTTTAATTTTTAAGTGAATTTAACTGCCAAAATAAAAAAAAAGAACCATAATTGATAGTAATTATATTGTGCACCTGGATTTTATATATAATGAATTGAATAATTTAATTTAATAATTTAAATCATCTAACTAAAAAAACTTGGTGAAAATATCAATTCGACATTTTTACCAGTTGAATTAATTAAAGGTGAAAATGCATGCGGTGACATGTAAAGAACAGAATAATGCAATGGTGAAAAGACTGACGGTGATAAAACAAATGGACTAAGTACGATGGCATCAAGTAGGCCAGGGCTCATAATATTTGGACTTAAACAGAATGGACTAAGTATATATGTTACCATCACATTTGGCACTAATATATTAGGTGATAATACGTTAGGCGATAATATAAATGGCACGAGAGCAGCAGGTGTAAGTATAAGAGGATCCATTACAAGGGGCGTCAGGATAAGCACTGATAAGCCGGCTGGAGATAAAACCAATGGAGCCATAACACGTGGTGAAAGCACCAGCGCCACAAATAACCATGGACTAAGAATTACTGGACCAAATATCACTGGGCTAAATATAAGAGAATTTATTAAAACAGGTGAAAGAATTAGTGGCGTCGACAATTGTTTGGCAGCAAACAGGTAAGTAATTAATACACTAGGTGACAAAACGATTGCGCGTTTTTTACGTCGTTGATATGCTTCTTCAGCTTCATGACTAGCCAAGTCACGTATGTTCGTAATTATATGACGTCTAATAGTTGATTCATTAAGGTTCACTAATCTGTCTAATGCTTTGCTGTCGTTATATGGTGAATTAGGTCCATATATATAATTTATTTGATTCGGTTCCATTATCGAATATCCAGTATCATTAAATTCATGAAGCTGAAATTCTTCTTGGTTTTTTTTTATTTTAGAATTTTTTCGATTTTTAAAATTTTTTCTAACTGTTTAATGAGGAAAACCTTTTTTTAAAATCGTTTGTACTTCAGCAAATAATCTAATAATCGCATTTCTAAAATAATGAAGGAAATTCCATTAAGTAAATTGCGTAACATGAAAATAAACAATTCAGTTCAATTCAGTATTTTAAAAGGTTGAAATATATTAAAAATATATTAAAATTTATCGAAAAAAAAACGAAAGACCTAAAAATAAAGCTATTCTGAAAGAATATGCAAGAGCGAAAAGCTTGAGCCCCTGCAGTCATTTGGCATATGCCTCTTTCGAAAATTCATTCCCAATCTTGGCAAATGATGTTATGAACGACCTATTTTCTTACTAACCCACAATAATTGTGCTATTAGAAAATGGAGAAGATAATAGGAAATAAACAGTAAAAGATATAGGAAAACCAGGAAGACAAAATATTTGGCAATGCTAAATATAAGACTTTAGTTGATAATAGTAGACATAATATGAGAAGTTGAATCTATTTATTCAAGTTATAACAACTTGAAAGTCAGCCGATTACGGAATATATACAAATAAATCGAAATGAATGTATGAAAACTACCTGTTTTGCTGTTAATGATTTAGTCAGATTCTCGAAAGACTCTACTTTTCTTTTTTCTGGATCTCCGCCAATTTCAGTGACATTTTCTTTTGTGAAATACATAGGCTGACCATCGATGCCTCTAGGAAACTCTTTGAAGCGCATAAAAAATGGGTCTTCGTTTTTGGTCTGGAAAACTTTTTCAATCTTTAAAGATAACTTACTTTATCCAGTTTACATCCAGTTTATAATAACTCTTTTCGATTTTCCATTTATCATTTATCATTTTCCATTTATCATTTTATCAACGAACAAAAAAACAAATATTGACAAATATATTAAATTTGAAGATAAGTGGACTTTAATATTTTATTCATCCAGTTTTGTGGACAAATTGTTTTGGGTTTGTCTCAATAATAAAAGAAAAAATTGCACCAGTGATAGAATTGAATAAATTCATAAATGGGACTTTCTTTAAATTTAGCGTTATGCTAATGAAAAAAAAAAACAAACCAAACCTTTAAACTGTCAACGACATCATTTATTCCAGACGCCTCCATAATAAAGTTTAACCAGTATTCATAATCATTAATTTTTGATGAAGAAATTAATTTTGGTAAACTTGTAAGTGCTTCAATACCTTTTCCTTTATCATGCAAACTAAATAATGATGGAGAGAATAACGTCGACTGAAAATATTATCACTCAGTTGATAGATTTATGTGATAAATATATCTTAACCACAAATTAGCTTGTTTGGATTTTTCCTTCAGCAGAAACAAATCCGTCATTAAAAATAAAGTACTAACCCGTGTGGTGCTAGTGGCTAAACTCTACTTCTATCAACAAGTGGCTTCCTGGCAAAAAATTCCTTATCGTATTAACCAGAAATGATACCACCTAGTTACTATATCAATTAGTAATATTTAAATAAAGGGCACAAATTTATTAAAAACTTTTTATTGAAAATAAAAGTGTAAACGTGGAATTCATGAATCGGCATCCAAAGTTCTCAATATGTCTTTAAGTAAATTCATTTTAAAATAACTAATATATGTCTAACAACTTTTCACTTTTTCCACTATGCAACTATTTAATGAGCATATTCAACTATTTTTTCTAACTTTTAGGCTTGCATTTATCAGTAAGAAGGAAAATTATTCAGCGAAAGAAATTGGTTAAAAAATAACTTACATTGTCATCTGCAGTATCTGGTACCGTTGAAAAAAAACGCGGTGAAGCAAAACTTAAACTACCATCATTGGATACATTTTTTCCAGCCGAAGCCATTGCTAACTTAGCTGCAGATTTGAACAACTTCAATAAATGCGTTGTCCTTTTTTTTTCGAAATTATCCTTTCTACTTATTTGTCGCACCATATCAGCGGGAAAACCCATTTTTGCGGCCATTTTGCGCTCAGCCTGATATTATGCAGATATAATTTCGATTTTCCATTTTTAAACCTCTATCACCGTTCTTCAAATATGATCTAGCGATCATCGATTCCATTTTTGTCTCTTGACGACAGCGTAAAAGTGAAATCTGGGAGGCGTCTGCTCCTATCCTCAAGTAGCTCTTTAGCAGAATAATCTCATCTTAATAGCCAGTACAGTGAATCAGTGCCTAGTGTTCACTAGTTCTGGGCTAGCCCTGCTAGTTGTTAATTATCAGTCTGCTAATTAAAAATCTTGCCAAAGAATCATCCATCTAGCGATAGAAATAGAAATAAGTCCAGTACCACGTGGATTTTTTAATATCAGGTTTATTTCTGACAGGGCCAAGGAATTAAACCTACGGTGCTTGAAACGAGTCGAAATAGCCATACTACTCAATCCTTATCCATTATCCCCTTCGTATCTTCTCATCTACGGACTTTTGCAAGGCTCCTCAAATTATCAAAGCATCTTAAACGAAGATTTACTTTTACATAATGTAAAATTTACAAACTTTGGTTGGTTTTCTAGCATCTAACAGTCTTGCCGCTCCGAATTTCGCAAATTCAAAAAATTTCGCCATCTTTTCTTCGGCCCTTTTCTCTTCGTCGATTGCTATTTTCTTTTCCTTGATTTCCATCATAGTTGACCGCCATCTGAAATTTCATATCTCACCTACTGCAAAAAATTCTTTAAAATTGTTGCAGTCATACATAAAGAATATACGAATTTCTAGAGTCTAACTGATTCTCACAATTTCTTAGAAAATACGAAATGGTCTAATAAGCTGTAATATCATCTTTAACTTCTTTAATGTTAAATCCATAATCCTAAGATTTAAGGTTTTGTAATATTTTATCCATAATTTATTTATATAGTTAATGTTATTTGCATTTTTGGGCACAATTATATAGAATGCATTTCTACATATCTTTTATCGTCCGAAATGCTCAGGTAAATAATTTCCTTTTCCTTTTCCTTCTCATTTCCTTTTCCTTTTGCAGATTTAAACCATGTTAGGACGGGCAGAACATCAATTAGGACTGAGAAAGTCGACACAACTTCAATCTCAGTAAGCATAGCAACACATGGCGGAAATAACAATCTCAACAACAATGTTCAGTCAGGTAGCGATGACTCCACCATTTAATCCACGAATTTTGAGAGTTGAGCTAAAGCATTTGAAGCATTTACAATTTCAAACACATATATGTTATTTTTAAATCTTAGCCTTTTGGATTCGCTTGCCCTTTTCAAAATAAGTGAATGAATAAGTCTCCCAATCAAAATATAGAAAAATTCATGAAAGTTGCTCGACATCCCAATTAACAGCTAAGTTTTCAGCAAGAACTCAAAGTTTAATTGCAACATGATAAAATCTTTAACTTTCGTGGTCCAGAATCAATATTGATACCGGACCAGTGAAAGGATAAGCAGAAAGACGCAAGGATAGAACAATAAACAATTTAAATACTCGTGGAGGTGGGCTTATCACTTATTTTTAATTATTATAAATTTGTAACTTTTGTACGATTTTGTCTATTCCTCTTTTGAATCTCTATTAACTAAAATTCATCTTAATAATAGAAACATTTTCTTTTTAAATATATACCGCCCATCTGGCCATGGAAGTAAATTCACTAGGGTTCTTTACAACCTGTTATTTAGATTAAAATTATTTGGTGCCCATTATGTAATTGTTGGTGAGCTTAATATGTTAAATATGGATTGGGAAAATAGTTGCTTGAAAAATAGCAGCAAATTTGAAGAGCACTTTCTAAACCTTTGTGCCTATATAGGTCTAGAGCAACATGTTAAGATTGCCATTAGGCATAGCACTATTTTAGATATTGTGTTAGCTACTCCTACTTCTCTTGTTGATATGTCTTGAATCTTTTTATAATAGTGATCACAATATCATTCATATTTCATTAAAATTAAACCGTTAACTCTCTCTATTGATGAAAAAGTTAACTTTCTTAATAGCATCATTTTACCTTGTAGAGCAATAGATTCCTCTAAGAAAAAAAGCCGATTCCCATTTTTTTAAAATCTCTTAAAAAAAGTGTCAAGAAGCTCTATAATAAATACAAATTAACCAAATTACCAGGTGACCTCTCTGCAAAGAATGTTTAAGAAGTTTCTGTTGTGCCATTTATTATTACTTTTCAAATAAAGAAGAGCAACTTTTAAGCATTAATAGAAATTCTTTCTGGGCCTACATCAAAAGAAAATTTTCAAATCCATGTAAACAATTAATTCTGCAACATAATGATAATGTGATCACCTCTGATATTGATACTGCAAGTAATATTGATATATTTAATCAACATTTTTCTAGTGTATTTGTTGAGGATAATATTCATACTTTTTGTTTTAACGTAAATCGAATTTGTTCCACTTCTCTCGATGAGGTAGAAATGCTGTTTATGATGCCTCAAATAGACTTAAGCCGTCCATTTCAGCTGGTCCCGATAATATTCCACAAATAATTTATAAAAAATGCGCAGTCTCTCTGAGTTTTCCCCTATTTTTAATTTATAAAGATATTATGAAGTCTGGCTTTAATCCCAAAATTTGGAAGTTATCTCATATAATTCCCATTCATAAAAAAGGAAGTACCTATGACCCTTCTAATTATAGACCTATTAGCCTAACATGCGTTGGTAGCAAGGTACTCGAAAGGTTGATTTGCAACAAATTGCTTACTTATCTTGATGCCAGTAATTTCATATCTTCCTATGGCTTTTGTACAAAAAAAATCTACTTCTTCACAAATACTGGCAAATCTTTCCGATTGGTCAACATCAATTGACAATGGAAAAACAGTATCAGTTGTGTACCTAGATTTGGCTAAAGCTTCCCATACTATTTCCCATAACAAATTATTGATCATTCTTAATAGTTATGGTATTACAGGGGCCCTTTACAACTGGGTGTAAGATTACATTAAAAAATCATCACCAAGCTGTACGTGTCAATAACATTCTTTCTGAAACAACACCTGTTAAATCTGGTGTTCCCCAAGGTAATTGTATTGCGCCATTGCTTTTTCTATTATGACATCACCAATGTGGTACTAAATTCTTCTATTTATCTTTAGGCTAATAATTGTAAAATTGTAAAATTTATTATTCTCATGGTAGAACAGATAGCAGGAGAATCTAAACAGAATAGCCAGCTGGCTATAGACAAGCAAATTACCCTATCCTCTCAAAAATGCAGCGTTCTTCATATCAATTCTAAAGGTTTTGATTTTTGAAATCTTATTATTAATGGCAATATAATCAGTAGAGTCTCACACATTTTCGATCTTGGAATAATCTTGGATGAAAATCTCGATTTCGACCTTGACCGCAGAACCATGGTAAAATCCTCAAAAAAAAATCCAAATCTAAAAAAATCCTCAAAAATACCAAATTTTATTTTTCGTTCGTTTAAGAACAATAAGAACTGCAGATTTTATCAAAATTACAAAGCGTTCGTTCGGGCACTTCTTGACTACAATACTACATGTTACTCCCCGAAATATCGTAAATCAAGTAAAATAACTGAAGGACTTCAAAAATATCTTATACGGCGCCTCTCTCCTAATTGCAATTTTAATTATAAAAGAAAACTTCTACAATATAACCTGGATTCTCTGTCAATTCGTCGTATTAGACAAGATTTAATTCATGCTTATAAGATTCTGTATGGTTGTGTAAAATTAAATTGTTCAAAATATTATAATTTTAGGTTAAATTTGAATCCAACAAGAACAAATGGGCTAAAATTACTAAAACCTATATGTAAAACTAAACTAAGGAATCATGATTTGCTTATTAGTATAATTAATTACTGGAATAAATTACCGAACGATATGGCTTGTGCCCCATCCTTAGCAATCTTTAAAAAAAGATCAGATAATATCATTTATGATATTATTTAAAAAGTCATGCAATTCAAATCATACAGGAAGTCTGAAATCTTGATTTTTACCATCCGATTATACATTTGATTCGAATTGTACTATATTATATTATTTCCTCTTTATTTCATTTTTAAATTGTTAATTATATTTTATTATTATTTTATTATTATTTTTTGTTTTATCATTAATTCTTATTATTTGTTATTTTAACTGTTGTTATTAATACAAGCAGATGGCGTTTGCGCCTTGCTTCCTGGTTTTCAATAAATAAATAAATAGATTAAAAGGTAATATTTCCTATTGACTATTAATTTTTTCTCACGTTAACTAGAAATATATCAAACTAGCTCATCTTACCATCCTCAGTCTAACAGCCATAATGTTTTACCAAACACATTTGAAATAGCACTTACCAAAATGGATGAAGAAGGGACGAAATCAAAAAATTTGCAAAATTTCTTATTATATTACAAGAGCACACCGAAGGCTTCTTTACCTAATCACAAAATTCCATCAGAAGTTTTAATAAAGCGAAAAATTTGGATTTTTCCTAGGTCTTTTGCACCCACTGTCGAAGAATCCTTATCATATAAAAGTGTGAAGAACGTTTTAATATATAACGCAAGACTTCGCTGTTTCAAAAAAGATCACTTTTATATATTCGACACTTTCAACGAGAAACATGGAATCTTACTAACATTATCAAAAGTTTTAAAAAAATAAAAATATATTTAAAAAACAAAAACTGAAAAAACAGTTCAGGAATGACATGCCAATCAATTATAAAATTGCATCCCAAATTAAAAAACTGTTATATTTCATGGAGATAAGGGATGGCATGGCTCAGTGGGTTGTTGCTCAATTTGGAGCGCTGGTGCTGAAGTTCGGTTCTCCGCAGGATTAAGCCTGTACAAAAATCCGGATGATGTTGACAACTCACCTGTATTTCTATCTCCAAAGGACTTCATGACATATTGCCCAATGCAACAAGCCAGTGGAGCGAGTTTAACCAGTAATGGTGAGGACTCTTTAAAAAAACATTTCATGTAGGCGTTTGATCTCAAACAAATAAAATAAATATGGATATTCGCTACAAGAATCAAATCCAGTTCATTCAAATTACAGAGGATCACATTGAAGTTTGTAGACTTGACTTGGGTCTGCAAGCGCGCAAGCAGTTAATTTGATATTATTTTTATAACTTTACTTTTAATTATAACTTTTTTTAATTATAATTGATCTATATCTAAAATGCTGCAAATATGTTTAATCCATTCATCCATTAATTTACTTGAATCTAAACGTAGTTAGTGCTTTTGTACAGTTGTATTATAGAAAAGATCAAAACAACAGAAAAAAGTGAGAGGAGCGAGGTCATGTTATTGTCATCGCAATTCGGCTATACTGTACCACCTGTACGGCTGAATACAATTTTGCTAATACTGCTGGACATAAAATTTTATAATTGTCATCATATTTACTACTTCGAACAAAGCATTCTCTCCGACATCGAGCACAACTCTCACAGACAACAATATTAGGCAATAACAGTTAATAACAGTTAATATAAATATTTAGTGAAGATCGTCCTCATAATGAGCATCCGAAGGACAATAGTATATTTGATGAAGAAGAAAATTTAAAAGGAAAAAATAAAAGGCTAACGATTTTTCAGAATTTTTGCCTTTAAGGTTTCTTGTTATTGTTGCCAAATACTTTCCAATAAGCCCGAATGGAGTCATTTGATCAGTTTTCAATTTATAGGACGATAAGCTACGTACGTTCCTTTTCGTTCGATAAACAAATTGTTCTTCATTATTTCGGCTTTGTTTGAATGCGAATGACGAATTAGATGTTGATGTAGCAAATCGTTCTTTTTGCTTTGTTTTTAATCTCTTGTTTAAGAGATTTACTTTATAACCTGAAATTGCCAAAGCTGAGGTTCATTAATTCTCCTCATCCTTTTCACTATTTATGCACTAAAGCATTTTTCCTCTATTTTAACAAATGAAATGAAATATATTTTTAATAAATGAAAGGGCACTTAAAGCGCAAAAATATTTTAGAAATTACAAATTTATAATTTGGTGAATTTAAGAGCCAAAATTTATGCTGTTAATTTAAATTCATATAGAATTGCATTTGATCTAATATCGTTGAATGATTTTAAAAATTCAGAAAACGATATTTCAGCAACAGGATTGTTGGTTTTATTTATTCATCCAATAATCGAAATGGACTTCTAATTTTTGCAAATCTCTTTCTTGCTTCTTGTGCGTCTAATGCTGCAACAACGCATCGAGCATGTTCATGCACATTTTCAGCTTTCTTTGAGCATTTAAACAATTTATTCCGATGAAATTCATTCAGATCTCGTGAACTGAAATCTTTCATAAGAAAAGCACTGAAAGATTTTTAAAAAAATTTTTGATTACTTCAAAAAACTTCTTTATATATGCAATCATTAACGCCAAGAGGATTTAGATTTGGCTAAAAAATGTTAGAAAAGTGTGGTTGAAGCCGAAGTTGGGGATTAGGTCTCAATATGCAAAATGGCTCCTAATTTTTTTTGATCGACAAGAACTTTGTTCTTAAGAGGTCTTCAACTTGGCTTTCCGAAACAAAAAGTATGAGCGTCCCTTATCTAATCAAAAAATAAATATTCTGCATTATACAATTTTAAAGTAAATTCGATCCGATAATTATTTTTAATGGCATATTTACTCATTTAATGGCGGATTTATAAAGATAGGGAAATGAATATATTATTCTGTTTTGATGAAGCATAGGATCCAGTGCTATGTTGAAAATATTGCTTGATATATAATGACTACATAGAGTATACATGAATAGAAAAAAATTCAAAAAGATATGAAGAACATCTTTTTTTTTTTCTTGAAATTTTCTTTTAGCCTAAGTAATCCACTTATAATCCACTTAGTCCAAGAATATTTTAGGCAATGCGCAACCAAAAAAAAAAAAGATAAATGAGTTACATTTTACTAGCTATAGCTGACATAAGGCTGCTCAGACCTTGATGAGTCCATTTTTCATGCAGTTCTATACCAGCTTCATGAGATATAGGGATATTAATCTTCTTTCCATCATAGTACTGTATCCCAGGCATAGAATTTCGCAAGTTATTTATCCTGCATCCTGCGAATCCACACAGACCTATTATTTTGAAAATGTTAAAGCAGTATTTATTTTGGATTGATTTATTTAATTTGGATTTTTCGCGTTATATCCACATATAAAATGTAAAAGGCAAATAAAAGCTATGTCAAAAAGAGCGAAGGCCAAAGCTAAGCCACAAGTTTAAATGTAGAAAAAAAATTTTCTTTTATTTGCCTTTCATATTAAATGAAGGGGATATGACGCATCGGGATCGGAAAAGATTAGATCTGGGACAAAATGGGAATATATAAAGGAATTTTCGTTCTGAACTCTTAACTCCTCATCAATTAGTCATAGCTTTCAAGGAAATACTTTTCAAGCTTCCAGATGATGGCCAAATATTCGAAAATAAATGAAAGAGTTCATAATTTCAATTAAATAAAAAGTTTGAAACTAATGAAAAAATTAAAGATAATCAATAAAAAGAAAAAGATAATAAAAAAAGCGAATTCTGCTCATTCCTCACATATTTTTTATAAATGATAGCTGGCCATAAATGTTTCTAATATCCAAATAACATCTTAAGAAATGAAAATTTTTCTCGATTTGAAGAGCTTTGCTGCTCGCAGATTAAATCGGATGCTTCTTAAATTCTGAATAGTTCGTTTTTAATTTAATAATTATGCAAATATTGTTCCATTCTGAGGAAAACATCAAAATCTTGGTTTCGAATTACAATTTTATGAAGAACGATGGACGAGCGCTACCACCGCTTTGACTAAGGTATATATAAGTATACCTGTCTCTCCTCGGCAAGAACAAACCTGTCAGAAGTGAAATCCAGAAATCGGATGGTATTAGAGACCCGTTCTAATTCTATCTCCATGTGATTGATTGGCAAAATAGTTACATCCAGTAGGCGATGGAAGGAGCCAAACCAGAAATAGTGAGTGCTGTCAGAAGAAGAAGAGAATATTTAATTTCTTTTTTTTTTTTAACCGGGCAGTAAGTTTATTTATTATTTATTAAGTCTCCTTTCAAATTAAATTTATCGAAAATACATCAGTATTCGACAATATTTCAATTTTAATTTGGAACAAAAAATTTTTCATAACACATCTCTTGTATTTTTAACAATACAATTAAAGAGGGCAGAATGGTTCAGTGTTGTTATCATTTATAGAACGCCATTGCTGCAGTTCTGCACCCGACAGCAGTAAACTTGTTGTTCAAAAATATGGATGACAAAATATTTGTATTGCTAAATGACTCTTGTCTGGTCTGGCAAACCAGGCAAGCCTAATCAAAAATAATGAATGCCTTTAGAACAAAATAGCAGCAATGCTGCACTGAAATTTTTCATTAACAATTTCATATCTCATTTCTCAGATTTTTTTGGATATTTTGGATGTATTGGATATTTTTCAGATAAAATCAAGATAGTTGGAAATTTTTAGAAAAGAATTTTAGGATCTTCTTGAGATCAAATATTTAGCAATTATATATATATATATATATATTTTATATATTTTTTTCTGACTTGTTACATTAGAAAATTTTGGCCTATTTAAAATTTTTAACAAAAAAGAAAGAAGTAAAACCAACAAAATTACATTATAAGTATTTTCATTGAGAAATTTTTGACTGTGCGCAAGCATAAGCCTAATTAACATAAAGGCAATAATATGGTATCAAATGAAAGAAATCAACGGAAATGGATGGAACAATGAAGGTTAAATGAAATTTGGAAAAGAAATTAAATTGGCAAGAAAACTAAAAAGCTTTCTGAAAAAAGGCAGTCTTGGTTTTCTTGATGTTATCAATCGTTAAAAATAATAGGAATGAATTACTGATAGATTGCATCATGCGAAAATGCAAAACGATTAGTTTCTATAATATAGTAAAGTAAATTCCAAATAGTTGCTGATTTCATGCATTTATCAGCAAAATAATTTTTTATTTAATCTGGAAAACTATGGACTGAATTTTTTAAAATTATTTAAAATAGCTCAAAAAATTGTAGAGAGTTTTGCTCAAATAGGCGATAATAAATTAAGAAACGTCGAAGCCTTTATAAAACTAGTAAAAATAACTAATAATAAGCAATGGAAAATTAGTAGGTAAGTGATTAACGAAAAATATTATTCATATGAACTGATTTTTTCTCTGCAATAAAGATTTTTAGCGCCTATATTTCTTTTTTCGTAGTTTTGATCCGGTTACAAGTATAACATATTAGATTAAATCGAAGTTATTGAGAAAGTTTTGTCCTTCTTTTCTTTTATCAATACTTAGTATTTCTGATTTCGGTTATTAAAATTAATGAGATTTTTTAGCAGGCAAGAGGTGATAAAACTACATGCGTGTGCATGTCACTGGAATTCACATTTTTTAACAGATTCACTCTTTTTAAGACATGAGAACGAAATCAAAATGAGTCAACGAAATCAAAAGAGCATTTTACTGTCGACTTTCAAGTCAAATAGATCTAAATTATTGCAAAAAGGCAATGAACAGAATATCTTGTTGCATCTATATTCATAAATGTTCAAGCACATTTCTTCAAACAGTTGCTTTTCTAGCTTTTTCGGTTTTAAGCTATATTTATTTTATTTATTTTGAATGCATTCAAAAATTTCCAGCCACTGCTTAATATAAAAAATATTGCATGTGCCCAATCCACAAGAAAAAAAAAATTTGCAGATTTGCATGTTAGAATGTACCATAATTGACAAAAATTGTCTACGCTAAAATTTGCTTTTACTATCAAAATTTTCGCGGGATATCATATTGTATCATGAAGTCGTGGAGTCGATGAGAAACTTAAATTATTGTTTTTATCGTTATTTAAAAATTTTTGATTATATCATAAATTACGACAGTAAGATACTAACCGTATAATAATATAAAAAGAACAAATAACCGTTTTATCATTTTTTGGTAAGAAGATCTGAAAAAAAAGCAGATATTCTAAGTTACATTAAATTTATAAATCGAGCAATCAGAGATATAAACAGGCATACTGCATAAAGGACAATCGGAATAAATATCGCGTAGATCGGAAAAATATTGTGAATTATTGTAAATTCAAAAACCAACCAAGCAGGAGGTTTTTTCACCTTTTTTTTTAAAAAACTAAGGAAGTTAAATTAGGTTATCGACAGTATTTATACGAAATTTTATGCGATGAAGGAACATTTGTTTGGACAGATTCCCAGTACTTATGACTACAGAATTCAATCGTTCGGAATAAAAAATCAGTGAATATTAGGTGATATAAAATTAAACTATATTTATATGAAACCTTATTCTCATGTATTAGAAACGCCCATTTATAATGAACGTTAGCCTTTTATCAACGAATTTATTAAGGATGAAGTATTTTTACTGATAATTTATACTTTTAGGAAGGAAACGATATAGAAGAAAGAGTCCTTTCCAGTTACTGAAATTATGTTAAAAATGGAAAATGTATGCGAATAATAAATATACTGAAAATGGTAAAAAACTATTTGAAATGAATATATTAGAAGTGCAATATGGTGATCGATATGACCCGATTTAAATATTTCAATGATTTCTTCAAATTTCGTAGAAATTTAGAATTTTATGAAATTTTAAAATCTTATCGAAGTATAGAATATTGTACTAAAGTTTTTCAGAAAAAATTTTAATTTCCCCGAAAAATTGGAAAAGCCATTCCATTATTATTGTATTTTTTCAAATAGATTATGGAAGATTTAGAAGTTTATAGATATTTCAATTTACAGGTTCAAACAGTCACCTCTGCTGTTTTCTTATGGAAACAAAAAGATAAAAAGCTTTCATTTCCATACTTCTTTAAAATATAATGGCGAAGAATATAAGTCTACTCTAACCTAAATATACGCGTCAATACTGGTTGCTCTAGTTGCGTTAAATTATGATCGCCTACAACAGCCGAAATTTCGATAAACAAATTAAACCTCAAATCGCGATATTTAAATTTAAGGTTTACACGAGTTGTTTCAGTTTATCTGTGGAAATGATCGTATATGATATGGCTCTATTTTTGATGATTAAAAATTACCGCTGTTAATGATAAATGACGAATTTCTTTGGCATATCGGAGTCGACATAATGTAAATTCTGTTTGGTTAATTACAACTCTACAATTTTACAAATTCGGGACAATTAGGGAACGTTAAGTTGCATTTGTAATCATTTCTTATTTCCGATTTTTTAATCACTGAGGTGAAACTTTCGTACTACTATGTCGATTTCACAAGAAGTAAAATCACTCTCCACGATTTCTTCATGAAATGATATATCAATGAGTTATCCACATTCGAATTTGGCACAATAGAATAATATGCAAGACTTATAATCAAATACAATCTGAACTAAATAAAAGACATCTACTATTAAAATATCGAGTTCTCGCAACTGTAGTGCAATTTGCATTTTTCTTAAATGCAGTTTCATCAAAAATATCAAGTTTAATGCTTCCCAATAATTCGATTTTCACCAGAATCGTTGTTCAGTAACATAGAAGAAAGTGTAATATTAATTGATTTAAACTTTTATTTATCGAATAATAAAGATATCACTAAATCTAGTTCGCTTTCAACATTCATTAAATTTATTTTTACATCTGATACATTCCGAAATATTATCAAATAAGATAATCAAGATAAGAAACATGGACATTAAATCAACAAGATATTAACCGCTTGAGTTGATGGCACTCACACATCACAGTGATATATAATTAATTGTAACCAGCTAATTGACAGCAATGATAAATAGGTCATTAACTGTCAGCCTGTTAGTAATCTTCGAAAACGCCTAGAAAACAGTGCGAAAAGAAATATTTCAAATGCAAAGACAGTCAACGGATGAAATGATTGATTTTAGATTGACCGAATCATTACGACATTTCAAAAATACTCGAAGAAATTTTTGAAATACCAAATATCAAAAAATATTTTATATGCATTCATTCATGCTTCAAGAGAAACATATTTATCT